CCAACCCCTTCTTTATTATATTTACAAAAGTTGTCCCAAAATGTCGTAGACAACATTATTTTCCATTGAACCTGAAGTTATTCCTTTGTAAATTTAACTCTAAAAGGACGTTATTAAGAAAAGCCCTCCCCTTTGCAGACGACATCCCAAAAGTAGCCAATTATTACAAAGAATATATTACATGTTCATCAGCCAGATCGATATAAAATTATCATTTTAATGTAGATATTAAGAAATAGTAACGTTTTAATTACGAAAAAAGCTGAAAAAAGGACGCCCATTTTTTTAACCAAGGAAGGCAAGTCTGTATTGCATATTCGATTGCAGTAGGTTGTTTCCCATATTCAAAGTTTTAAGTAAAGAGGCATCTTACAATAAAGAAAAATAAGTATCAAGAAAATGAAATAGACAACTTTTTTGTTTTTTCTCTATGTCGCTTCTATACTTCATGTATACCTATATTGCTATATATTTTGTTTTAAGATGCCAAAAAAGTACACTGCAAATGACCTGATGAAAGCTATTTCGGCAGTTAAAATGAAGCAACACTATTTTCTGACCACGTCAAAATTCCGAACATTAGAACCAAAAAGGGCCTAGAGAAACAGCTAACAAAAGAAGAGACAGATGAGCTGGTGAATTATGTACTTTACATGTCTGGACAATGTTTTCCTCTCACATGAAAGATGGTGCTGGAAATGAACAGATGCTTATGTTTGTTATTTCAAACTTACAGGCAATAATATATTCCAAAAAAGGAATTGACAAAATATTCCCTCATAATACAGGTCAAAACAATTCTTTCACTTTAAAATTGAACGTTGCAAGTCTCTCTCTCACAGGCACGCACCGCACGCACGCACACACACATGCACGCGCACGCACGCGCACGCACACGCACGCGCACACACACACATACATACATACATACATACATACATACATACATACATACATACATACATACATACGTACCCACAACTTGCATTCTGGAAGCCGGAAAGTCGGGACAGATGCAGAATGTAAAACAAAAAGTTTTAGATGATTTTTGTTATATTTTGAATTGACATCTTAAAAACACAAGTCATTAGCAAGCCATCTTATGTGTGTTGAGAGATGAAAAATGTGTCAAGAGACAGTACAATCGTAAAAGAACATATTTGCAATTTGCGCTATGCTTTAATTCAAAAACTGTAAATGTGAAATATATTTGATCCCTAGTATATTCACATGTGTCACATTTTTTTTTATTTGTCAAAGTTCACGTTATGTATGTTACTGTAAAGTATCAGACGTACGAAAAATAAATCCGACTGACTGATTTTTGAAACTGTTTAAAAATCTAAATTGCAAAATAACTTGTCTTTTATAAGTACTAATGACATAAATGAAGATAAATGTTATGGACAGGTAATAATAAAATTTAAAAAATCTTTTTTTACGTTCCGTTTCTTCAAGCTTAAAGTAACAAATAAAGGTTTTCTAACACGCCCTACACTACAATATATCAAACACATAGGGGCAAGCGCAATATTATATGATAATAGTTTGAAAATTAAAAAAAACATATCTTGTAGATCATATAAATATCTTCGAAACTATGTCATTATGTCATACTAATTATGATTTATATTTGTTAAATTTGAAGGTTTTATGTTCAGTTCAGTTCAGTCCAGTTTATTCAGCAAATCGGCATATTAACATGCCTTTGGCCAGTTTAACATTTTGCAAAGCGAAGAATATGGCCAAGACAACATAAACATATAAACAGTACATAATACAGACGCTTATATTAGCGCATCTTTACGCTTTATTTGTATAACGCAAATCACTCCACGTCAAAACATATTCATGGCCGTGCAATACTATATGTACAGAGTCGCAAAAACAGCACGGTATGTGATAAATAAGAATAAGTAGTAATAGAAAGCATATTTTCCGTATTTTCAGGTATGTCCGTCCGTCTGATAGCAATATAATATTCGCTCTTTTGAACCGATGAAAGGACATTGAAACTGCTTGGCAAAAATGTTACAATAATGGCACGATGTGTAGGTCAAAGTCAAGGTAAGACTTAATCATTATGTATGAACCTCAAAATTTTGCGTCCGCTCTTTTTAACCGAAAGATGGATATAAAAAACTATTCAGCAGAAATGTTACTTACAATGAGATAATGTGCCGAAAACAGGTTTCTACTTCGGCAGATCGAAATTGAACCTGTCATTGGGGAAGGCTGGGGTCATTTGATTAATATATACTAATATGGGTAAACACATTTAAGATGTGAAGCTTTGTGTGCCGTTTTGTACGATATTGGTCACCTTTAAGAGATTATTTACACATGATTTTATACATGAGAAACTACATTGCCCATAGCTTAGATATTTCGCAAGCAACATTGCCTTGTGGACGTTTACAAAATTGATATTAATAATGTCATTGTGTCTATATTGGCCCCTTCTAAGGGTCCCTTAGTTAAAGGCATATATTAAACATTACCTTAAAGTCTAATGTGTGTATCTAAATACCCAAAGGTTGAATATTAAGCATGAAGCATTGCCGTGTGGACATCAACAAAACTATTTTAAATCATGCTCCTTGAGTCGATATTGGCCCCGCCCTAGGGTCACTTAATTAAGTTAAAATTATATACGAAATAACATTCTAAGTCTTATTGTCAGATATTGCAATACCCAGAACTTAGATATTTGGCATAGAGCATTACTCAGTTGACCTCTAGAAAGGTTTCAGGAAAAATTCGCCTAGGGTCAATTGGTATGAATAAATATAAAATCATTTGTGTGTGGGGGATGGGGGGCGTTGTCATGAATTGGTTTCTCCCTTAAACAAAATATCGAAACACATATTTATTCGGACTTACACACGTACACGTATTGCCCTATCTATGCGGTTCCTGTTCATCATTTATTAAGTACGAACATTTACACTTTTTTTGTTGAATGAACGAACGATTAATTTCAATAATATTTACATGGCAGACTAAGTGTCACTGAAACATTTCAAAACATAAATCAAGATAGACCTTGAGATTCGTTCTGAACTCATTGAAGTTGTAATCTTGAATTAATGAAGTTGAAATTGTGAATTTGTGAATTCTGTACACTAAAATTGTGAATTCTTGGGCCCGAGAATTCAAGAACCCTGAATCACAGACAACATGCACTCGTAAATTATTATTTGAAACTTTAATTTTCTGATCAACTCAACATTCAGCTTTCAGAGTTAACTGATATCATAAAATAAGTGGTTTAATTTTATTAATATAACATGTCACAACTTCGGAATGAATTATGAGATATACAAACGTGAATGGTCTTACACTTCAATATACAAAATTAAATGTCATATTTCAAAAGAGTGCACAAACTTTATTCCAAAAGATTTATTACTCCCACGAGTTTGAACCTTAAAATAGTGTACGTCTTTACATAAACCTTTTATCCGTTAATATAAAACTTTTTCTTTGGCGACATGACTACCTCCTTCACGACAGAACTGTCTCGCAGAATAAATATCGAATAAAGTTTTAGTTCTGATTTTGATTTTCATTGCATTGTTGATGTAACATCTACTTCAAACATATTCGTATTTGATCTTGATTGCTATTTAAATGGGAGGGAGAATAAGACAATAGCATTAGTTTTATGACGAAACAGTCTATTTCGACGCTTAATTCGCTAAATGGTTAACGTCACCACCACCACTTCAGCCAAAGAATAAATTCACTAGTTTTACGTTCCCTTGTAGCTTTAATTAAAATTACGGGAAAAAGCATTCTTCTATTTTGATATTCTATGCAGAATTTACAAAAATAAACAAAAAACAACATTCATTAAGACAACAGTTTAACTCTAAAAGAGGTAGCTCTGTTATTGGGTTAATACTTTCAAGTCGTTGTTTAATGGAATAAATTTCAATTATTTGACTGGAGATATAAACAAAGAAATCTCAAAAAAAAAAAAAAAAAAAAATTCTTATTGCAATTTCATTCAACAGATAATTTTTATACCCGATAACACATTTTATAAATAAGGATTTCTCGTTCTTTCACTGAAATCTTACAACAAAAATAAACAATTTCTTAAAATACTTTTAAATGAAATATTGATGAAATAAAATTCATTTTTTCATTTTCCGTATTTTCACTGTAAAATTTATTTTTCACTGCAGTAAAGCATATTTTCCGTATTTTCACTGGTGTCTTGTCGGACTTCTTTCTACATATTTAGCCAATACACAAAATTTAAGGGGAAGCCTTTCAAGTTGTAGAAAATAGAAAAAAAGGTATATTATAAACAGAAAATTCAAGATTTTTCTATAAAAACAGGATTCATTTTCATCTTGTGATTGAAAATTATAATATTTCACTCATAGCTACTGCCACTCATGACCTATATATTTTCGTACCACACGATGAAAATAAATCCTGTATTTATAGAAGAAAACTTGAGTTTCCTCTATTTATTACATATATGTACATATAAATGAAATATTGATGGAATAAAATGTGTTCTTTTTTATTTTCCGTATTTTCACTGTAAAAATTAATTTTCAATGCAGTGAAACATATTTTCGTATTTTCACTGGTGTCTTCTCGGACTAATTTCTTCTAGATTCAGTCAATACACAAAATTTAGGGAAATTCATTAATATTGTAATGTCTAAAATGTGATAAAATGTATATAATTAACAGAAAACTCAAGTATTGTCAATATAAATACAAAATTTATCCTCATCTTGAGGTATGAAATTTAATTTTTCACTCGTGGTTACCGCAACTCATGAACTATTTACTTTCTTACCTCTCGATGAAAATTAATCCTGTATATAAAAAAGAAATGAAACCCAATAGTAGAAAGATTGTTTTGAGCCATTGTTGTAGTTAAATTGAAAGATTAGTTAACAATAAAAACACATTTTTCTTTCAAGTTTTGTTTTAAATTATTATTATATAAATGTAATATTCAATATTCTTACTTTGAAACTTTATCCATAACGTCCTTTTCCTTTATAAGGCACTTATTTTGTCTACTTAAAGGATTGGTAATTTAAATTGAATCTACAATATTGAGTTTCTATTATATAATGGCTTTATATTCAAAGTGATATTATGTTAAGAAACGATCCTATACTACTTCGTAGTATTTTAAACGCATTCACCAAACAAAATGACTTGACAAAACATAAAGTCAATCAATGCATGACGTTTTTAAATATGAAGCATAATAGGCATTATACGAAATATCGTGTTTTATTAATGCAGTTTATTAGAGGGGAGACAACCCTGGTATGTAATAAAGTTTTCATATTTATACTATTCATCTCCCTTTACAAGTCAGGTGTTTTCTGAAAGGTAATAGTTTTTATGTGTTTGGGTCGTCAGACAAAACATTATTTATTTTATTATAAGTTTCCATTTTCCGACTTAATTACAAGTTTTGTTTAAGTATGTTACTGTGATGATGGTCAATCTATTGTTTACAAGTATTTATTATGAAACAAAATGGATGCTTATAATAATAATAATTTTGTTTTCAAATTTATTAATTTGTAACTTTAATATCCCTTTAATGTGTTGTAAATTACTACAATTAAAAATACATATTCTTCATATTAATATAAACTACTTTCTTGTAAATTACTACAATTTATAAAATATGTATTCTTCACATTAATATAAAGCTACTTTGTTGTAAATTACTACAGTTCATGAACTATGTATTCTTCATATTAATATAAACTCCTTTTTTTGTAAATTAGTACAATTTATATAATATGTATTCTTTATATTCATATAAACTACTTTGTTGTAAACTACTACAATTTATAAAATATGTATTCTTCATATTAATATAAACTACTTTTTTGTAAATTACTACAAGTTATAAATTATGTATTCTTCATATTAATATAAAGATTGCCTCCTTCTCACGTAGATATTTATTTGAATCATTACTGATCAAACAAAAAAAAAAGCTTTGAAATTTTAGAATATTCACCTCTTTGAAATTTCTGTGACAGTGAGGCCTTCTTGTCTGGCTCATTTAAGGACTGAATCCGTAAAAGTGCATAAGATTCCTACCTTCAGTCTCTTAATTAATATGAATATATTTTATCAGTGGAAACAATTTAATTGAAGATCAAATTTGTTTGGAGTGTGCATTTGATGGTCCGCCTGCATCATGTTGTATTTGAAAAAAACATGATGAGGTATAAATATTGGGTCTTTGACTTTTTCAGTGTATAAAAGTAATGCAAAATTAGTGACTGTCACATGGTCACTGTTTCACAAAAGTACACATTGATACACTTGGGAGGCAGGGCTGATTTATTCAATTGGAAATGATTTATGGTGGTCTATGCACAAGCTGGAGAAAAACGAAATCTAAAAATTTGAACATTAGATATCTCATTAATTGGTTTGTAAAATGTAAAAATAATAATAAGGAAAATCTAATGAAATAAAATCATAATAAAAATAATAGTCTAGAAATAAATAGTAAATAATTAGAAATAATTAGAATAATTAGAATGAATAAATAAATAAATAAAATTTTTGCATTGCCTAGAATTAACAGCTTTTGTTTTTTTCTCGTCCTTCCTGCCAAATGTTTACTATACATTGTAGAAGAAATTGCATTGTCATAAAAGAATAATATATTTAAGTATTTAAGGTACATGTATATTAAATGATGTCATTGATAAATATAAAACATTATAATAAAAAAATGATAATAGATTAATATTCAGTTGGTCTTATTCCGTAACAAAATTAATAAAGTGTAACATGTGTCTGAGAGCAAAAACATAAATTCAGGAAAAAAATTTATATATTGAATTTTTCAAATTTTCCTTGCATAAAAAATCTGATTTAAAGCAATTAAGGGATACTATCACCATGACAAACCTTTGTAGCGATATCCTTTTCAACTAAATTAGAAAACATTAATAGAAAATTAAACTAAAGAAAGAAAAATAAAACAAGAAAACTGATGATGATTATAATAATAATAAAAAATATTTAATTATAACATATCTCAGAATAGTAAATTAATAATTGTAGAAATAAATAAATGAATGAATAAATAAGGAAAAATAGATAAACAAATAAAAAATAAATAAAAGTTTTTATATATAAATAAATAAAGAAAAATAATTGCAAAGTAATATTTACAAGTTATAAAAATTATAATTAGAAAAAAAAATAAGACAGAAAAAATAAAACATTATCAGCATGAGTCCTTGGCCAGATTTATTTTTGTCTATGGTTTGCATTTGATGTTTTTAACGTGGGATGAATGGTTCCCACTATTTTCCAAGCCTGCGTGCTTTACCGATTTCATACTTTCCTTTATGACGGGACTCTTGTGCCTCTTGATTAACTCGTTTCTTGGCCATTTGTCAGCACGTTGTCTCTTTTTCAAAATATAATTTTAATTGATTATATCTGAATTAACATATTAAGCTTCCAATATCCAGAGCAATTTATGTCACTTCCGACTGTCCGCAGTAAAATCAGCCATATAGGCTTTAGTCATGTAATATTACATTTTATGTACATGTAATTGTCAATCTTATACTACATGTATTTCCAATTGTCTTAAATATTTAATGTTCTAATACAGCCATAGACAGACAAAATACTGCCAAACTTAATTTGCCTCAGTTAAACATTATCAACCAAAGAAAGAGTTGTTTTTTATTGTTCCCTCTGCTAATAATCTGTATTAAATCAATATCACACATTTTCTATTTAAGCATATTTCCTCATTGATTTTCTATATTTCAAGTTTTATACGTATAAATGTTGATTAACTATTAAATTACTATAGTCGCTCTACCAGTGTACATAGGATGGTGAAAAGATAGCAGATTTGCAATATCTCTGCGTGTTCAAAAATATAATCCATCAGTAAATATTACTTTTTATCCAGTAAGTTGATTTACTTATGTACAAACTGGAACTTTACAATTTAAATATGTTGCATGGAAAAGTACACCAAGCATGTGTAGTGTGTACTAAATTCTTTGATGTCTTTCGTCTCGAATCATCCAAATGATTGTTAAGTTTAACTTCCGGTCTGTCTGCTGGCGCGCCGTCCATCGCAATTTGGTCTGTCCTATCGCACAATATTATTCCTTACATAAATGCGTCTCTTCTTTTCTTTTAAATTGCTTAGCATGCATTTCAACGAAAAGAAAAACCCAGCTAAATTTTGAAGTCTGAAACCTTATTCTAGTGTTATAGAGGGTATGATAAAATTACAAGAGTTGCTTAATATGTAATGCAATATTCAGTATATTTTCTTATTTAGCTCGTGATTCTTGTGTTTTAAATCTGTGCTATGCTACATCGTGTGTGTAATATACAGATTAGGAATTTTTTTCGCATTTAAAATTCCATACATGAGTAACTTCATGTATGATATGGCTGGTAAACACTCAGTTGAAAGCGCTCATATACGGGCTTACATATTAACTCGAGCGAAAATAATATCTGCTATAATTGATTAATTGTTTAAATTGATTTTTACAATATTTATTACATCAATGAAGTATCTCATTCAATTGTTTCGAGATGGATGCATACCTGAGTCAATTAAAGATGCCTGTAAGTTAGTTGAAACGCTCCATTCTTATTGATCTATAAAGTCAAGCTTATCATTAACATAGATGCCAGACTTTCACTTACCTGCAAGAATATCAAAAGGGTCAACCCATACGATTCTGAAGAATCACTCAGTTTAGGCAAATATCTCACAGATGGATACCTCATTTGCTGTATTTCTAAATATGACAGACGCCGTATTTCTTATATTGTGACTGGTGATGAAAGATGGTTTTACTATTTTACGTTAGTTCTAAGATTTGAGCCATGAATATATTAGTCGACCATACATTGCCAAGGGATTGACAAGTGTCGAAAAAGATGTGTACGTTATTCTTTTCAATACGAGAATCAGTGAAACTGTTGTGCTAGAGGCTGTAGTGTCACACATAAGTAGTCTAGATATGTTGTGTAATGAAAAATTGAAAAAACATTTAAAACGAATAAAGTTTGTCCTTCGACTGAAATTAATTTTCTGTATTTTTTGCATGACTACGCGCACAAAGGAACTAATATAATTGGACATCCTCCGTATTCTCCAGACTTGGCACCTTGTGACCTGTACCTCTTTCCTCTCATTCCTAGACTAAACAAACATCTTGCATGTCATACTAATGAGCAAAAATGGACTTGGTTTTGACCACTTTGCAGCAATTAAAGGGTAATCCTAAGGAGGTCTATGTTTAAGCATTTAAAAATTAGAATTTAAAAGTCTTAACGTTTGTACTGCAGGAGGAGAGTATTTCAAAAGGTTGAAATAGAAAATTGTAAAATATTTGCTCTGTTGTTAAATTATTGACCATATTGCATTACATATTGACCCAACCTCGCTAAGTTTTGTTTTCCCATATGTGAAGTACAAAATATGTCTTTCAATACAAAAAAGACATTCATTATATGCAGTTATTACATGTTCGTGAAAATAAATATTGTTCAGTTATTTTTATGTTTCGTAGGAATAATTATTGTCAAATGTTAAAATCAAATTATCAACAGGCCGGCTTTGATGACCTGTCTCCTTTTGGACAAAAAAGAAGTAAAATAAATCATTTTTAAGATTTATTGTTAATACATAATCAGTTCGTTGTTTAAACACATACTTATATATAGGTAAATTAGGAACATAATGTTTAAGTTATAACCATGGTAACCAGAAACCTGACCGCTTCTTTGGGTTTGCCCGTTTGTCTCGGGGAGGCAGTGGGCAAGGTACCATTCTTTGACGATAAAATTCAACTCTTTGAAGCATGCTTTCCACTCGTTCTGGAAACTTTTGGCCAAATTATGTCTTTCAACTGGGTCTTTTACTATATCAAATAACCAGACAGGCTTTTCTTTAGTTCCGTTGCTACCTAAAATGATAATTTCAAGCCATTCAAATGTGTAATAATAGCTAACTATCATAATAGAGTTGAATTAATTTTTTTTGTTTACCACCTAATTGCTCATAAAATTTAAATTTGAATACTATAAAGACTGTATGAATAGTAATGGTATTATATGTAAGAAATGGAATGCAAATGTCAATAACATCTGGATTGTGCTTCATTATCTAACAAAGACTCTGTTTTTGGATGTTTGTTTTGATTAATATCTTATCATTCGAGTCAAATGTAGCTTGTCTCTAACATTTATGGGTATACAGTCACTTTCACAAAGGAATGGTTACTGCAAGTAGGACACACAACCAGCAACTTCTACAATTCACCTGATTCTCTGACTTGGAATCGCTTTGTCGTTTTTGTTCGAGTTTTGCTATAGTGACAGTAGGTTATAAGCTCCTGTCTTCAAATGTAAACTATAACGGAGGAGTCACGTGAAGTAATGCTGATCTTCCAAGTTGGTCGTTACTCTCAAATATAAATTGTCAGCGTTACTTCACATCTAATACAATTGGGCTATCAACCTTTACTTATATGAAAATATCCTCAAAAGAAATACCGCTGTGCAAGGTGTCCCGTTTGTGCCATCGTATCTTTGCATCGCTGACCTCTGATAAACCTAAAACGTCGGCGCGACGAAACGATAAGCTGAAGCGACGTGGTCGCCTATTCGGGGGAACGATGGCTCAAACAGAACACAAAAGTTTTGTTATCAAATTTACCTATTTTACTAGTTATAAGTTTCCATCGCCCAATCCTGATTGCTGTTCGTACTGTCGAATTAAATATGTTATCATATTTGTCAACAACTTTCTCTTTATTAATTGGCTTGATGTCAATGAGGATTTCTGAACGGGGTGTTCCCTCCAGTCCACTGATAATTGAAAAGAAGTGTATTTAAGTTTCTCAACTAATACATAAGTACATATAAGCTCAAATAAAGGAGATCAATAGTTAGAAAAACATGTTTTTATATGAAAATCCATGCAAATTCGGGTTCCCCTAATTATGCAATTACACGTTAACTTTTTTTTTAATTTTGATTTTGATTTATTTGCAAACTCGAAGATTTCTTTAAGAAGCAAATGATTTTTTTTAATTTTGTTTTCATTTTATTCCTTAATCATCTGGGAACGAAAGTCATCAGCCTTTGCTACAGTATAGAGCCAAGCCAGCCTGTGTATACAAATAACATAAAGATTATTTCATTTAAGTAGCTGTTTTTCATTTTAGTTTTTAATACAAAATACTCTTTAACTCCAAATGAACTGTTCCAAATTCACAGAAAAACAATCGTTATACACAAATTACACTAAGGCTTAGTTGAGTTATTGATGTACACTAAGTAAATAAAATAAATATTTATTCCCTATTTTTTGTAGCGCTCGTTATGAAGTGTTATTATCACATTGTTGACTTAAAAATAAAAACTCACTTAATTGATTTCCATTGGTCGAATCCATCTAAAGGTTTAGTAACATTTAAATTTCCTCCAGCTAGATTTATAAGTGTTGGAAACCAGTCTGTCACATGCATAAGTTCCTTGGAAACAGAGCCCTTGACCTTGTCATTCAGCAACACACTAGTCACAAAGCCAGCAGCACGTATACCCCCTTCCCACAATGATCCTGTCCCACCTTTCAACGGGTAATTGCTACTCCCTTCATTTAATTGGCCTCCATTATCTAAAATATTACAAATTATCTTTATTAGAAGATATCATTAGTCTAAGATTAATTTGTATTGAACCTGAATAATGATAATTTATATGTTCTTTTAAAACTATATGTTACATCTATTTAGATGAGAGTTTACAGAGCCCAAACAAATCTATTTGCTGTTTCATTGAATATAAACATTAAAACATAAATTTTTATTTAACATAAAATTGTAAACATACAATTTATAGTCAAATCATATTCTGTATCGTGTAAAGTGTTACAAGTTACAATTAGCCGAGAAGTATTGTTAACCAGTATGAACAAATGTTATATGATATATGTAACAGAGTTTGCATAAGAAATACTTATAAATGTAAGAAACAAATGTAACTTAAACAAAGAAGAAAAAAAATATTTGTTAACGTTGCCGAGAAGTATTGTTGACAAATATAAACAAAGGTCACGGCATAATTACATAAAAAATACTTATGCATGTACACAGTAGAACGAGAATTCTACGTGTTCACGTGCCGAGGATTATTGGTGACAAGTATAAACATAAATACACTTAAATATGTAAGAAGCTAAGTAGAAAGATATTTGTTAACGTTATATCATATCGATATCCACAAATCAAACGGCAATAATAATATTTCTAAGATGACATAACCGTTGTATATGTACTAATCATTTATTGTCGTAGTGATCTCCCATTTACTTGTAAATCATAAGAAAAAAGTATGTTATCGGATATTAAAATCTTAAGTTATGTCCTCTCTTTAAATGCGTAATACAGATAACTTGCCAGATTATTAATTGTTTTGATATTTGTGCTTGTCATTAGTGTTTCGAATTTCTGCATTGAAGGCCATCTACAAAAATATGGTTTAAAAAACTTTCTACGTAAATTGTTATATTTCGGGCATATTAATAAGAAATGATATTCTGTCTCTACTAAATTTAATGAACAATTTCGACATTTTCTGTTTTCTCTTGGAATATTATCGTGCCTTCCTTTTTGTATTTCGAGATTATGAGCTGATAGTCTAAATTTGGTTAAAATAATCCTACGGCTATCTTTGTTTATAACGCTTAAATACTTTTCGCACTGAAATTCGTGTTTAAAATGACTGTAAGACGAAAGTCTGTTAGAGTTATTAATACTTGAATACCAATTTTGTTTGTAGATATCTAAAATTCTTTGCTTTATGACACATACATTTATATTTAAATTATCTTGTTGTAGCCAAAAGTAAGACATTCCTATTTGGTTCAATATATTTTTTATTTGATAAGCCCAGTTTTTTTCTCTGTATGATAGCTCATTATCTGCATCTTCTTTTAGCATGTTATACATTTTCTTAAGAATTGAGTTATCAGGTGACTTAAGTATTTTAATCCAGTATTTGAACATTATGATTTTACGGTATATTGCCATTGGATATCTCCCCATTTCTCCACATAATGCATCTAGATTTGTTGATTTACGAACACAAAGGATCTTTCGAATAAATTTACAATGTACAAGTTCTATATTTTTACAATCATAGTATCCAAACACTTCTGCGCTATAATTTAAGACGGATCCAACTAGTGTATCAAACAGTTTACATTTATCTTGAATCTTTAGATCAAGTTGGTTAAATACTGTAAAAAGGTTATGCATAGAAAATGATGAATGTTGAGCAAGATGCTTTTGTGTCCGATTCCAATGTCCATTTTTAAAGAAATAAACGCCTAAATATTTAAAGCTTTTAACAATTTCTAAAGTCTGACCATTGAAAATAAAGTTAAACGTTGAATGTCTACCTTGTTCAAATATCATTATTTTAGTTTTAGATGTGTTAACTTTTAGATTCCATGTTTGGCATTATAAATTCAAATCATTTAACATTGATTGTAATGCATTGGGTGTCTTGGCAAAAAGAGCTGTATCATCAGCAAAAAGTAGCATACATAATTTTAATTCATGAACGGTGAAAATTCCATCAATGTTACTATTAATGTTATGAATTATGTCATTAACGAAGAATAAAAATAAAAGACTTGAACTTGGGTCACCTTGTTTTGCACCTATTTGAGGTGAAGTTTGGTGATATCTCTTTTTTAAACCTTACCGCTGATTTTACCCTGCTGTACATGCTTTCAATTGCTTTTACAAATTTTGAACTAACATTTTCCTGGATTAGATTTTGAAAGATAAACGAACGTTGTAATTTATCAAAGCATTTTTTCAAAGTCTACAAAGGCTACGTATAATTTATTTTTATCAGAAAGAGTTTTTACTATTATTGAGTGAAGTATAAATATGCAATCTGTAGTTGATTTTCCTTTTTGGAATCCGTATTGATTATCTATTATAGTTTTATGTTTTATAGTCCATGATGTTAGGCGATTAAGTAATACCCTTGAATATATTTTAGCAATAATGTTTATCAAAGTTATACCCCTATAATTTTTGGCATCTTCCGGGTCACCTCCCTTATGTATAGGAACAATAATTCCTGATCCCCACTCACTGGGATATTCTCCGGTATGAAATATCCTGTTAAAAAGTCTTAGAATAAAATCAGACGTTTCATTAAAAGAAATTTTATATATTTCCGATATAAGTGTATCTATTCCACTACTTTTATTATTGTTTTGTGAAAATACTGCTTTATGTAATTCTGACATATTAATTTCTTTATCTAAATCTTCATCTATAATATTTTGATTATAAGATGTATTTCCAGTTGTTGTCTCTGTGCTATACAGTGTTTTAAAATGCTCATATAGATCTTGTGTTGTTAAAGTTTCAGCCCTTCTTGTATTTTCAGTGTACTGACTTCTAATCTTATTCCAGAATTTACGTGGTTGAGATTTACTCATTTCATTTAAGTTTTGCCTCTCATTAAAGTTATATTTTTTCTTTTGGGTTCGTTTAATTTTGTTATAATTATTTTTATAGTTTATATATAGATTACGAAGGTTATCATTGTCTTTGTTTTTTACAAAAGCATTTCTTGCTTTTTTGAATTCAGCTCTAGCAGTGTAACAGTCAGCATTGAACCATGGTTTTTTCTTTAATACTTTATTTATAGATACAGTTCGTGTTGTTCGTGTTTGTCCGAAAATATCATTTGAACAATCGCTTAAAATCTTAATAAAAGATTGTGATATAGTATCAATATTTTCGTTTTGGTTAATTTCATTAGTTAGCTCTAATATATCTACTCTTTTTGAGTTTAAGCATTCTATAAATTGTGAAATTTTTGTATTGTCAAATTTCAAAAACGTTTCTTTGTGTATTTCAATCGGCGGTGAAGCGTGATTTTACATGGTAGACTAAAACAGAGTCCGCTATGATCGGAAAACTCGTTAGGTGGGGTAATACAAAAATGTGAAACAAGTTCAAAATCATCAATATGCAACAATAAATATTCAAGCGTTGACGATCCGTTAATCGAATGATAAGTATACTCTCCTATACCTAGATCATTGTGTAATCGAGAATTACCAATAATATATGAGGTAGACAGGCAAAAATCAATCAAGCGTTTACCCATATATATAAAAACCCTTAAGGCAGACAATGCTGTTAGATATAAAATGTATAATACCATACCGGTTGTGAAAATAAGCACAGTGTTATCCCACATTCCACTTTGCTTTAAAGACTCGACAACACTTCCAATACCCTCATCAATACATGATACTTGTCCTTTCAAATAAACAAAAACAAACTCATTTAATGTATAAATTTGTAACACATAAATGATGTTGTTATTTAAAGTAATATTTAAACTAATACACAGATGTTGATGTTATATAAAGTAATATTCAAAGTGATATTACTATTGGTACATTGTGCATGAAATTACGTACTCCTAAAATTCGATTTTGTATAAATTAAAGTTCGTTAGTATTTAGGTGCGGCGCGATGTTTGACTTTTTATAAACATTTGTTTTATTTGACCGATTATCTTAAGTGAATGTGTTGCGATTCATTTTGAAATTATTCAATCCTACTGGACAAACCAATTGAAGAAACAGAATCTCTAAAGAACTAAATGCAAATTACTGCCCATGCCCCCTAGCACCGACTTATGCAAAACTCAACATTTAAATATGAAAATAGTATTTTTTTTTTAATTTAGAAACATCTGCAGATGCGTTTATACGGCGATTATCACGGAACCTTCAATGAGACACTACCGAACCATTCCAGGAATAGCATGCATGTGCCGTAAACGAGAAAAAAAAATGAGCGGAACTGAACAAAAGAATTTTGAAATGGGATTAGAGGTTATAAAGACTGCATAAGACATCAGAAGACAAATATAAAAAGCAGGCAACATGTTGTAAGGGTGATTCATCAATATTCATTTAGGAAAAGATCGAACAGAAGGAACTAAAACACGCACACACAACAATAATGTCTTGCTGAGCGATCCTCAATGATTCAAACACTAATGAGCCTAATGTAGTTTATTTTCATATACAAACAAGTGACAGTATTTGAATTAATTTTTATAGATTAGTTTTGTACATACTGACTCACAGATTTAAAGGAAAAAGAACAACATGTAATATCCATGTTGAAAGGCACGTGCTAAATAAGCCGATTGCATTTCTTCTCAAGGCATTGTAAATGGTGTATTTTGTACGAATGCATTCTTTGTTGATTTCCTTTTACAATTCTGCTTTAGAAGGCACTAGGAGCTGTGAACGGTAGCTAACAATTACCACTACGGTTTATGAACCGTCTCAGTCAAATTGGCCTTCAACAAGTTCAATTTTACCGTGTTGGACTATATCTATTGGACTATATTCTGTTTTTCTCTATTTTAACGCGCCATGGAGAAATATAGAAGTCCTACTTAAGGTATAACTTAAGAGCTGATGTAAAAGTTAAGAGCTGATGTAAGCTTGAAAATTATAACATAAGTTGTCAATCGCACGACACTTGTGTAAGTAATATCTGACTGGAACCAATAAGAGCGCTGTAAAGATGCAATAAATTCAAGTGTAACATTGAAGGTTTCATGATGACTACAATATGAACATATCTGCAGATGTTTTAAAATTTAAAATTTTACCAGTTCATGTTAAATGTTGTGTTCTGTTTAAGTCGGTAATAGGGGACGCGAACGGTAAATATGAAAATAGTAAAATTTCTAATTTAGAAACATCTGCAGATGCGTTTATACGGCGATTATCACGGAACCTTCAATGAGACACTTTGATACCATTCCAGGAAAAGCATGCATGTGCCATAAACGAGAAAACAATGAGCGGAACTGAACAAAAACAGAATTTTTGAAATGGGGTTAGACGTTATGAAGACTGCATAAGACACCAGAAGACAAATATAATCAATGTGCTGCAGCACTGAATGCGACGGACATGCAACCGGAGAGACATTAAGGCTTTTTAAAAAAAAAAAAAAAAAAAAAAACACAAAAGATATAACAGAGAAAATTTGTTCCATACAAGTTCGAGATTTGTAGAGCAATAAATTTTATGTGCCCCGATCTGATATAATTCAGATTTTCTACTTTCAAGCAGAACAAGTCCAAATTTTTAAATACAGAATGAAATTTATGCCGAAAAACTCTGGTCAAACTTGTAAATCAGTGTCCTTATTGATTTATTCCAAGAAATGATATGTAAATAGAAAAAAAACTGTCAACGAAATATTTCTAAAATAAAACCATGCAAATAAACTTCAATCATAATACATAACAGATGTGAGAATGTTAATTAGAATTGCTTTGTGTTATATCATAGTGGGCATATAGACAATAAAATATAAGTCATTTGTATTTTTATTTTTATTTCTCTTGGATATGTCTCATTAAAGATATTTTTGGTTAAAATCATCAGCAATTTATGGTGTATTTTTTTAGATTTTTTTTTCATTTACGTCACTTAAGCACCACAGTGTTTAGTTGTCCCTTTCAATTTCACACTAAATTCCATTTTCAACTTGTTTGCTTCTTACAATTGTTTAGAATTTCTTAAAGTATTGCATGTAAACATAGGAAGTATCCGCTCGTTTATTACATGTATAATGTGTACTCGTCCGAAAGTGCAGAATCTATTTTTAGGATAGTGTTATCTTCTTGCCGAACATATCGATCAGGTTAACTCATATCGTGACCTAGAAAACTATGTAAACAAAACACAAGAATCGGAAGTAGAACTGATATTATAACTTCCTTCAATAAAGATTACCATGAAAGACTACATGGTGGTAAAGTGTTGAAAAATTCCCTTGTTACGTGCAATTTCAAAAACAGATATTTATCATACTAACCATTGTACTGTAGTCAAATTTATTAATAACTGCTGGATATTCAGCTAAACCCGCGGTATGAGTCACGAAAAGAGTTCTTCTTTTATTAATGCGCGAGTTATTCTAAAGTCACGAAAAACTTTTGATCTGTTAATAAAAATGTTTTGTTTAATGGGGAAATATTTATTTCCTGCTCATAATTTCTATGAATTATTAAGCTTACTCCTTAATTATAGCATAATTTGCTGTCCTACTTTTTCGACAGCGGTAAATCGTTTCAGCAGTTATTTGCATAATTGCGCAATAATACTACGGTGCTACAACGTTTTTATTAATTAAATACGTTTATATTTTAACTTGGATAACTTAATTTTAAATTGAAAAGGCTAAATATTGAAGTTTTTAAGATATCCCGACGAAGTATGGGAGTTTCGTAGGATCAAATTCACGTACTATTTCGTGGGCTGTTATTCGGTTGAGGACACATTGCGCGATTGTAGCCGACGAAATCCCATGTGTAGATGACATAGCTCTAAACGCGCCTGAGGGCGCGTCCGTCGCAAAAAGCAGGCAACATATGTTCTAAGGGTGTCCTGCAATAAATTCAAGTACAACTAAGCTTCAATTTTCAGTTTATTTTTCTAAGGTTGATCATGTTAACCTTCTTGCAATGAAATAGAGAAAAACAGAATTCCTTAGGAAAGCCAAAAACGTTAAAATTTAATATGTTTCAGGCTCGGCATGATAAGCTTGTCAATGGACGGTAGTGGAAGTTATAGGATACCGTTCACGTCCCCTAGCACCGACTTAAACAGAACACAACATTTAACATGAAACATCCGCAGATATGTTCATATGGTAGTCATCATGGAACCTTCAATGTTACACTTTAGTGTCATTCAATGAAAAGCGGTTTTCATTCGTTTTGTTCCAGATAAGTGCAAGAGATGACAACTAAAGACAACTAAAACACATGCATTTTATTATCGATATTTAATTCGACAAGTTTTACTAGTAATTAGAAAATTTAGATGTCTGATTTTAACTTTCCTGCATGTTTTCTGCGTTTTAGGCTTGTAGAATTGTCGTACAGGTCAACATATTGATCAGGCACCTGAATTGGTCCGTGAACAGCTTGATACGAGAGATAAACAAATAATGGTTGCAAAGATAGATATATTATGCAATGAGCTATATGTGGTTTTCAGGTACAAAAACCTCTAACCAATAAAACAGTTTATTATTACAGTTTATTCAGAAAAATATCCAAAACCGATCACACTAAAGTGTGTCATTAAATTGTGTATACCTACAAGCTCATACTAGAGTGGGTCTGCAAGTGAACACAGTAGCTACAATAAATACTTTATACAGATAATTTTTACACTAGATATAACATATATTAAAATAAATACTACAAGATATACTACAGATAGATACAGACTGCTTAGTCAAAACAGACTGAAAGAAATACAAAAGGTTACTAAAAAAGATTACAAAAGCCACGACAAATTACTTAATAAAGATTACAGGAAACAATACAGACAACCAATTCAATCGTTGCGACACATAACGCAATACAAAGTATAATAGTTACGACAGATAATATAATAATAAATAGGTCGAGTATGGTTAGAATAATTAACAAAACTTATACATTATACTTCTCTCTTTAGATTTACAAGTTCATTATCTTTATATTCATTTCAACAAAGTAAAGTTTTAGCACGATTTAAAACAAAAATTATCTTAAAATTAAACTTTATAAAAATTTTCTTTTTTTAAACGTAATAATAGTTAAAATAATTTTGGTTTTATTTAATAAATGTAATCCAAAAAAAAATTTTTTATTAAAGAAAATGCAAGTAAGTGCAAAAATCAAACCCACTTATGAGACCCGAGCAGACCCAAGGTCCCAGCCGTCTGATTCATGATCTGTACTGTTCGCTATTCAGTGGATACATATTTCAAAACTTTCCCTAAAAAAGATAAGTAAATTCAGGTAGTCTTACTGTAATGCTTTCCCGTCTAAAATTTATAACATCGGTCAATATCGTTATAAATCGGCCATTTCCGGAACGTCTTCGGTATTCAATATTTTGAACCGTTCATAACCGGAATTTAGTACATAGCGATAAATAAATGATTGTAAATAATGTATTTGCTACTTTATTGGCCGATGTTGGATTTTTTGGTGGGAAAGCATTACAGTGAGACTACCTATAAGGGTTAAATGTGTCTGACTTAACTTTGATTTATCGTGCGTATGAATGATACTTTTCACTCTGTTGGTAAAGAGATTGGTCGAATATACACCAAGATACTTCGAGATATTAGCTGGTTGGTCATTTTCCATCAAATCGTATCCTTTCATGTTTTCGTCAACTGTTTCATGGGTAAAATAATTGGAGTGACCAGATTGGAAACCTGAAAATAATTGTGATTATATCAACTTTATATACAGATATTCAGTGCATTATGCTTTTACCAATTAGACATTAATGTAGTAGAAGATCAAAAGACGAAAACGTAACTCCTGAATACGTACCATTTTGTGTACTGACGGGCAGATAACTTATAATGTGACAGGTAAGTCTTTCTCAAGTGACGTAACTTGTTACAGACGAAGCACGCTTCCTCTTAATAATTTAATATGATAAACACAGATACGATGCTTAATATAATAGTAGCATTTTGGTCAAAGTTGTGCAAATTCAAATTATTATATTATGATAAACAGATAATTAACATAAAAATAATACAAACCAAAGAAAGTTTGGAAACCCCGATTCGTAGGTAAATATTCTTTTTTGTAAAACCCAACATGCCACTTTCCAACAATATGTGTAGCATAACCAGCCTCTTTCAGCTTATCGGCAATCGTGGTGCTATCCAAGTCTAGTCCTAATGGTGTAGATGGCCAAAGTACCCATTGTAAGCCTGTGTATATCTAAAATTATAATATAAATTACTCAGCCAAAAAAAAGTGCAAAATTGTAAACGTTTCCTTCTTTAAAAAGAGAGTTTCTGATTAAGTTTCTGATTATTAGGTATTCATGAGCATAATTGTGCATTAATTATAAAAAGTGTTCATTGTGCTTCATTGTACATAGTACATGAACGTACGTAATTGTACATTAATGTAAATAATTATACATTAACATTGTACATTAAATTGTATATAAAACTGTATATTAAATTGTACATTTATTAATATAAAAGCTACTTAAAGCTGACCTTAATCAGCATTGATATTTGAAACACCCTGTTATCATTAACAAAAATCTACCAATTTACATTCATATGCTATGAAGGTGTTGTTTAAGTAGTATAATGGAGTAACAAAATATCTGGTTCCCAGAGGTTAGAAAAAAGAACTGTGACACAACAACTATATTGAGAAAAATGTCTTCGCAGCATATCAAACGTTACTATATACGTCATAGAACTATTTTACCTGAATTCCATCTCAAATCTCTTGATTTTCATTGGTCAGTGTCAGGTCTGACCAATCAAATTTTAATCGGGACCTTTTCGTATAATAGTTATTTGTTAAAATGATAAACTTATTAAACAATAACCTGATGTCTTCCTGTGAGAAGTTGACCTCTTGTAGGCGTACAAATTGGCTGAACATAATAGTTTTCTAGTCTAACACCAGACAACGCTAGCTTGTCTATATTTGGAGTTTTGACTCGAGATCCATGGTATCCTACGTCATTATATCCTAAGTCGTCTGCAATAATCAGTTTAATGTGCGGCCTTGTTTTATTTCCTGCTGCTCTCAAGTCATTAAATTCTGATCCGAAAAAGGTTGTTTGGAACGTGAAATAATACCTTTGTTTGTGAACCACAAAAATCAAAGTACAAGAGGCAACAGCAAGAATAAAATAGAATCGTATCCTATCCGTTGATGACCTGAAATATGTTAAAAATAAAACACTCTAACTTTAAAAATGTTTACAATTTTATTATAATAAAAATCTTTAAATGGACTACACTGAGGTTTTTTTTTTGGCAAGATGGGACTGAAAATATTTTTCCAGATAAATCTAGATTCTATTATTTGATGTAGGTTTAGACCACTAATCTTTGTGCAAAATTTCAGATCATTCGCGCACTTCGTTTTTTCCAGAATAATTATTCAAATTGTAAAAAAATGACCAAAATGAAAAGCGTTTAAACGATTTTCACTCGAATCGGGCTAAAGAAAGCATAAATATACGATTTTCAATTTATTTCAAAGTATATTTCTTTGCATATATTGCTGTTTAAAGTGCCCCAGCTCATTTATGTAAGAAATTCAAATGTTATGTTTTAGGCTTTGAAACCTCATCGGAGCCCTTTAAATGTCTCTTACTAAACGTGACTATTAATGTGTTTTTTTGTTTAGCATAAACAAATTCAACTCGGTTGTTTACTTTTTATGGATCAGTTTCATTGATTTATTTCCTAAACGTAAACATATTTTTTGTAATGTAGATTAGTTTGTGGTAGAGTATAAGAGTAGTTTCCGTTTATATTTGAAATAACTACATGAGAAAATGCAATGAAATTCATCATCTATATGATATAACATGATATCACAAATAGTACATTTGTTTTGTTTTTCATCTTAATTTTGTTTGGTTGTACTGTAATATGACCATTCAAAAATTATATTGTAAGAGGCTAGCAATATCAACACAAATATCATTATAACTATGAAACCACTAAGTTTTAAATAATCATAGTTGTCTACAAAGTAAGAACATGGCAATTTTCAAAAGAAGCCAAAGCTATTTACACAGTATGAACATAGTATAATTACATGGCATTTTTCATAAACAAAGCTGTTAACACTGTGAAAACCATTATTATAAAGCAGTAAAACAAAAAAGCGGCCAGTTATTCAAGGATACATTAAGCAAACATGTTACGAATTTGGTCGGAACAATGGTACTGATACTAATAGGTGATAAATGTTCCGTCATAAGTCACCCCGGTTCTGTGGCCCCCAGAGAAATGCTGAAGATAGCAGGTAGAAATAGCCGAGTTGTAGCCAATCCTTTTCTCACAGTATTGCCAAGCCAATGCTGTAGTTCTGGGTCTTCGCCTACCACCCAATCTTATGCTTAAACCTCACATTTCATCCATGGTTTCGATTTAAAATTTAATTGGGTTAAGTATACAATGTGTTTGTGCAAATGGTATCAGTTGAACTTTAGTTTGAATCATGCAAACGACCCTATATTAATGTTATTGTATCTAGATATTGATATAGAACAATAAAACATAAGCATAAACATATTTATATGTATGTACAAAGAAATAATATGCAGTTAACTAATACCATACGTGGCTGAATAGCGGAGTGTTACTATAATGGAATGATTTTATCAATTACTAATTAAACGTGGAGGTAATTGATACTACGACTTTAAATAAAACATGATTTTTTTACATTAGTTGTTTATTTTATACTTCACGTGACCTAACCGGTTTAAATTGAAGTATAATATGCATCATTTACGTTGAGCACCAGTGTGTGATATCCATTTTATCGATCGTTGTTTTAAAAGTACAATAGAATTAATAAGAAATAAACCTTATTCGTCTAAATTTTAAAATCACATGTTTGTTTCGATGGACGACGTTTTTCAAAATCAAATGGAATAATACCACTTTTGTTTTTCGTAAGATTATTTTTATGTTCTTGACATTCATTTGAGTCTTCAATCTGATTAAAATCAGCTCTAAATAACGCTCCGCTTTTAGATCTTATCGTGACCATATACGAAATCATTTCTGTTGTGCTTTTATAAAGCCAATCATCGGCGAGGTTTCATAATTTTGAAAGCGATGTTGTTTCTAATTTTAACAATTTTAGTGTCTTTGCTTTATAGTGCAGTATACTAAAAGAGTTCGAGGGTTATTGCCGTTTTACCAGACATTGCTTTCTCGGGGTTGCGCAATGTACTCCATTATATTTTGTTTTGCTTTATTACACTTCAATGTTAATTTACATAATTACTGACAAATCAAAGCTAATGAGGTTTAACTTTGTCGTTTAAATTCTTTCAAATGTACTTTCACAAGTACTAAAATAACAAATAAGTTTTATCTGTGTCGCATAAATTTTTTTCAAATCAACTTAACACTAGAACTTACATAGACAATGAGGTTTGCTCTCCGAACATCTATAATATTAATTTTCACAAGCAGTTACATAGCCAATGAGGTTTAACTTTATCGTCCGAACTTCTTCAATATCAATTTCACTAGCACTTACATAGACAATGAGGTTAAATTTTGCCGTCCGAACTTCTTCAATGTCAATTTAACTAGCACTTACATAGCCAATGAGGTTAAAATTTGCCTTCCGAACTACTTCAATATTAATTTTCACTATCACTTTCATAGTCATGAGGTTAAATTTTGCCGTCCGAACTTTTTTATCATTAATTTTCACTAGCACTTACATAGCCATTGAGTTTAAACTTTGCCGTCCGAACTTCTTAGTTATTAATTTTCACTAGCACTTACATAGCCATTGAGTTTAAACTTTGCCGTCCGAACTTCTTCATTATTAATTTTCACTAGCACTTACATAGCCATGAGGTTAAACTTTGCCGTCCGACTTACATAGCCATTGAGTTTAAACTTTGCCGTCCAAACTTCTTCATTATTAATTTTCACTAGCACTTACATAGCCATTGAGTTTAAACTTTGCCGTCCGAACTTCTTCATTATTAATTTTCACTAGCACTTACATAGCCATGAGGTTAAACTTTGCCGTCCGAACTTCTTCATTATTAATTTTCACTAGCGCTTACATAGCCATGAGTTTAAACTTTGCCGTCCGAACTTCTTAGTTATTAATTTTCACTAGCACTTACATAGCCATTGAGTTTAAACTTTGCCGTCCGAACTTCTTCATTATTAATTTTCACTAGCACTTACATAGCCATGGGGTTAAACTTTGCCGTCCGAACTTCTTCATTATTAATTTTCACTAGCGCTTACATAGCCATGAGGTTAAACTTTGCCGTCCGAACTTCTTCATTATTAATTTTCACTAGCACTTACATAGCAATTGAGTTTAAACTTTGCCGTCCAAACTTCTTCATTATTAATTTTCACTAGCACTTACATAGCCAACGAGATTAAACTTTGCCGTCCGAACTTCTTCATTATTAATTTTCACTAGCACTCATATAGCCAAGTAGCCAATGAGGTTAAACTTTGTCATTCCATGACCTTCGAATAAACATATTCAAAAACTTTTTATTCAATGTAGTTAAACTTTTTTCCACCTGAACTCCCCCGAAAACAACTATTACAAACATACACATAGCTAATGGGGTTAATTTTTGTATTCCAAACTCTTTCAAATAAACTTGCAAAATCACTTACATAGCCAATAAGGTTAAACTTTGCTATTTAGATTTCATCAAATCATCTTTCACAATAACTTACATGGCTAATGAGGTAATCCTTGCTTGCGAGGTTCACACGTTCAATTTAAGAATGCATAAATATACTTAATATACTTTATGTGACCACTTTCTTGTTTGGATTTCAAAACATTAAATTTTGATTATCTGATGAAACAAAGGCTGTACCGACGTTATTGTTTGAGTGGGTATAATGTAAGGCTATTTCAATAAGAAACGCACAAATAGTCGTCTGATTTAGATAATATCAAACTACACAATTTTGGTGATGGTTTTATGATAGGTAGGAGTTTAATCAAAAAGAGATATATATAGAAGCCTTGGAGGGTCACTTTTGAGTTTCGACTTATAGATTTATTTTACTCTTTTCTTATGACTTTTGATTTATGACTTTTGATTTTTGACTTATGGATTTTGTTATTGTCCCACATGCTTGCCTCATAATTTTCAAGGAAAATATGGCAGAATATGACAACGATTAGAACGAGGTAAGTTCATTTACCTAAGTTTCCTGGAGACTAATTAAAAAAAAAACAATATATGTGGGCTCATATGCAAGAACAGAATGTTATTCTTATATAAAATAGATAAATACAGAATCCCTAAAGAAAGCCCAACACGGCAAAATTGAAAATGTTGCAGGCTCGGTTTGATTGAGCCTGTTCATGGACGGTACTGGAAAGTGCAAGTTACCGTCCACGCCCCCTACCACCGGCTTAAGCAGAATTCAACATTTAAACATGAAATAGTAAAATTTTGAATTTAGAAACATCCGCAGATGTGTTCATACGGCGGTTATCATGGAACCTTCAATGTGACACTGCCGTGCCATTCCATGAAAAGCGGCGTATGGTCCCAAAGTAATAAAAAGCGTGTGCCCTAAACGAGAAAACAATGGGCGGAACTAAATAAAATGGAATTTTGAAAGGGGATCAGAGGTTATGAAGCCTGCGTATCACAGATAAGACATCAAAAGACAAATTTAAAAAGCAGGCAACATATCATAAGGGTGATTCAACATTATTCAGGTAGGAATATTGGAACCACCCAACTAGAAAATGCCGAAAAGTTGAAAAGATGAAACTAAAAATACCACAAGCACAACAATAATGTCGTGCTGAACGATCTTTAAGGATCGAAAATATAACATCATTGAATAAATGTACGGGGAGACTTTTTACAGCCGCCACACGGCACAAATAACACGGATGTGATCATAAGCCTTTTTAATTGATTAAGAAAAGAAAATACTTTGATTGCATTGGGTATCCATTTATCATTTTGATTTCCGGAACAGGGATATATAATCTCAAATTGACATACAGCGTATGAATCAAACGGTTTATTTTTTTATATGGGCTCCAGCTTTAAATCCAAATCAGTCTCGCATTGTTGTTTGCTGCAGTTTCAATCGGTTTTTACCCGTAGTTCATTCTTCGTCCATCTTATATTGAATACAGACCAAATTATAGGCCTTACTTTGACAAAAAAAATTGTAGTGAAGAAGTTTCATGAAACATGGTATTTCAAAAACAATAAATCATACAGCTTTGAAACTGCACACACTTGTTTAGAACACGCTCTAGGTTAGAAATCTCTGAATTGCATTGTTATCAAATTATACCTCTTTTTCGACTTTGAATTTGTGGTTTAGAAGTTTCTCAAAAACTATTTTAGCGATTCCTTTGAACACTATGAGTGATATACTCTGAATACTATTGGTTTTATATCACTAAATAGAAACCCAGACTTTCATTTATAAACATGAACTATTACAATGATTTGACAGAGTATTTCTTGCATATCAGACTGTTGTTTCCGTTTATTTTACCCATGCCTGATATTTCATCTGTCATGGGGTGCCAGATGAGTCGCGTGCTATACAATGGCATGCTTAAAAATGACGTTATTTCGCCGTTGTGAAGTTGTAATTTCATACGCTACTGTACGAAAATAGTTACGGGTGTAAAGACATTAATTTCCAATCGGATTGGAATATCCGTCCTTCGGGAACCTGCCGATTGGCGAGTCCCCTGGGGACGGATATTAAGATCTGTACAGCAACATATGACAGCTATAATTAATTTCAAGTAACAGCCTAAACTGTTGACAAAAAATATCTTATCGTTAAGCAACAGTAATTCCTAAACAGGTAGCTTAGTGGGCGGATTACCGAGGTAGAACGTTCGATTCCTAATTTATTAAAACATATTTTAAACAATATCTCTGTTTTTGATTATCATTTAAAAACATCAATACGATAAAGAAAACAACAATGTTAAATTAAAATTATCAGGTTTCGCCATAAAAGCAGAAGACAAACCTTTAACTGATCAAATCACCCATTGCAATTGTTAATTATTCTCTGTATAGCCAAATGTATGGTAGAAGAATAAAACTCAAAATATGTGTACTTCAGACTGCTAAAATTGTGTAAATGCATGTCTGTGGGGGTTAAACCGAATGAACAGGCAAACACGAATGGGCCAAAAACGTGATGTGTAGTATATCTTTATACAGATAAAGAGATATTTGAAATGTACAAGTATAATGCTTGCATGTTTACCATGTTCTGTACGTTCACTGACGATATTATCAGTTTGCAATTGACGTATTAATAAATATATATTATATATTCCTTTTAAATACCATAATACTTGTTTAAAGAACTTGTTAAATGAGATGACACGGATTTTTTTTAGACTTTCAATACATGTGCCTTTTTGATGTATATGTTCTGACTCATCATAATGCCTACAACTCCAAACCCTTACGGTAAATTTTGCCTTAATTTTGCATACAGGTGTCCTTTAGGTATACAACTCAACAATGTTGTCAATTTTACAATCCCTTACAGTGCAAATTAGAGTGGTTATAACTTAAATGATAATTTACAAATATATTGTAATTTGCTCAATATTTACAAACCAATATCTTAAAACAACCATATAATGAAGTGAAATCGTAGGATATCGTCTTTATGATTTTAAAACATCATTTTTTTTAAACTGAACCTAAAGTAACCTAGTATATGACGTTTCAAAGCGTATTTATATTAAATTCATTCTCAAAATAAATCGTTCATCTTGCTACACAGTTGTAGTGCTGAATCAGCGTCCCATGGCATCTGTAGGTCTAGCTTCAGAAGGGGTGCTAATTCTACGAATTCCTCACATTGTCTTTTTGGGCGTGAATACATGTTCTTTGCAAACACGCCTCTCAAGTTAACTGCATTGCAGAAGTCGTGAGTTTCATACAAGCCTGTTTCAGGTTTACCACAAATAACAGAAGAACTGGTTTGTTGCCTTATTTCATGTGCAATCCGGTCTAACTCGGTTTGCATGAGGTTCATTGACCAAAATTTCAAGGTCTCGCATTGTATCGGGTCCAGATCATTAAATACACATGTATCGCGTAAGTCTTTGAAAAAAAATAATCCGCCAATAGATTCCATTTTGTCGTAATGTACACCACCACTTTTCAATGCGTTGGTTAGATGTGCTTTTTCCAACTACAACGCTTCGAGTACCAGCAATCGGATCTTTAGAATCGTGTTCTGAAGTATTGCTGCAATAGTAAAGCAATGCAGTTTTTCCGTACCAATATCACAACGTTTATAGTATTGGGTTGGGGGACTTAATAATGTTCATTAAATGTGTCTTAAAGTATTTTGCAATAAGGTGTGGGTTGTTATTTGAGTCCGAAACCTCTAACCATATTTTTTTCTACAGCACCATGGATACAAAATCATTTTGGTTTTAGTTTGTCTTAATCGTCCATATGTCATATTAAACTAGTCCTTTGGGTAGTATACGCGTCGGCAGAAGCGATGAGCTTTCCGCATCTCAATACCATCTGGACCAAGCGCTCTCATTATTTCCATGACGTCGTCCCCCTTGACGTACATGTTGTAATCCAGCATTAACCTACGCCACATTGTACGGTATCCTATGCATTGTCCACTTGTTTGTATTTCTCTGTTTATAACATCAGACATAGTCTCAAAAGGATTATATATTCCATTATGCCGTTTTAAATTTAAGCGTTTAAAAAATTCTGTTCTCTGTACTAATTGACGTCGTAATGCCATACCGTACCAGAAAGTACTCTATTATCAGCAGAGTTTTGTTTGTTATAGATGCTGAGGGTAGGTATCTTGGCACGGTAGCTTTGATATTGCCAAACAGTTATAATGATGAAGACACAGATCAACATCAAGGTTTTCATCCTCGTTACCTTTGTCCAGTAGTTGTGTCTGAAATAAGAATTTATCTTTTATCTTAATCTTTATACATTCATAGTTTATAAAATGGGTAATCCATTAGCTCCGTTTTTTAAAGATTGATAGGTGCGAAAAAAAAAACATTTAAAATGCTAGTAGGATATTTTGTTCTAACTGTTCCTATATCTATGTTTGTTCTTAAGTGTTCTTTTCTCAATTGTTAAAATATACAACAAAATTAGACATTAAAGGAACTCCACTGAGGTTATTAAGCCTAAAAACATAAAATTTTAATTTTTCGCATATTTCAACACAAGCACTTAAAACAGAAATATAAATAAAATATAACTAAGAAATATACATGAAATACATTGAAAATCGTATGTTTGTGCTATTCTCTGTCCGATTTGAGTGAAAAAAGCGTTTAAACGCTTTTCAATTTTGTGTCATTTTTCACTATTATAATAATTATTATGGAAACACGGAGCGAGTTAATGATCTGAAATGTGGCACATAAGTTATTAGTATAGATCTACATCAAATAGAGTAATAATCTCAAAAAATATATTTCCAGTCCCGTCATGTCAAAAAAAAATCAGTGGAGTCCCTTTAATGCTAAATGCAAATGGTGCTCGATCACAATTATAAGTTAACTTTGTACTTGTGTGTATGAACATAGCACTTGCCGTTCTTTATGAAATTGGTCAACACTATCTAAGTACTTCAGAGAAATACCGATTCTGTGTTAGCTCAATAAAATGCTGAATTGCGATACATGTTTAATACTATGCACCATGCCATTTTAAGACTTAAAACTTGTATTCCCTGTCTACTTGTAAAACAGTTTTTTGTTTGTTACTCATGGACAGATTTTGTGATAAGGACAAACAATGAATAAGCACTAATATAATGAACATATTTATAACAAAGCAGAATGCACAAAACACACAGCCACACTTGTGGAATTAAAGCCTGTGATATATTACCACTATGGGATTATATCAAATAACATTAAATTCCCTCCTTAACACATCCTCTCCTCCATGACAAATCTCAATGAAATTATTTAAAACGTTTAAGAAACATACCTGAAACCAAAGTTGCTGCTTTCAGCTTTTAAAGCACGTGTAAAATGGATTAGCCAAAAGTCATAAGACGTAAGTCACACATCAAAATTCAAAAGTCGAAAGTCAAAAGTGACCCTCCAAGGCTTCCATAGATATATCATGTAAGTTTATATCATGTAAGTTTATATATAAATAATAATGCAAATATTTTTTTCGAATTTTGTTGGGTTGACCCGCGTATAGTGTGAATTAACATCAGTGTTTTCTGAACAAAACTTGTTGAAATAAGTTGTTGCGTTTTGTTCTTTAAATAAAATGTTTCGATTCAGAAAGCGATAATTCACTAATAAAAGTAGTAAACAATTGAAAAGAAAATAACGCTGCAATGATAATTTAATACTTGAAAGTATTTTGTATGCGCTGCATTTGTCGAACCATTGAACGTTTGAAGTAATCTTCTTTAAGAGAATTCTTATTCCGTGCTCTTATTAAAACAGTCGAATGTAGCCGATTTTCGGGCGAGTGTAGGTTTTTTTTTGTGTTTTTTTTTGTTTGTTTTTTTTTTTGCGTTTTTTTTTGTTGTTGTTTTGGTTGATGTTGTTTTTTGTTGTTGTTTTATTTCATAAGGGAGGGTTTTTTTCTATAAAAACAGGATTTATTTTCATTGAGTAGTATGAAAATAAATATTTCATGAGTGGCGGTAGGCACAAGTGAAATATGATAATTTTCATACCACAGGACAATATGAAAAAAAAATCCTGTATTTATAGAAAAATTTTAATGTCTGTTTATAATATACATTTTTCTCTTTTATTGACATTACAATTTGAAAGTCTGAAATTCTTCCTCTTAAATGTTGTGTATAAGAAAGTAGTCCAGCAAGACACCAGTGAAAATACGGAAAATATGTCTTATTGCAGTGGAAAAAAATACAGTGAAATACGGAAAAGGAAAATACGCATTTTATTTCATTAACATTTATCAATATTTCACTTATAAGTATAAAATAAAACTTCACATCTTACACATACATTTATTTATTAAACCATATATCATTCTGATTTCTGAACACAATATACTAAACGGTACACACACGCACGCACGCACACACTCACACACACGCACGCACGCACGCACGCACCAACACACACACACACACACACACTCATACACGATCAATACTAATAAACCAAGAAAAGAGACAATCATTTAAAAAAGTGTTTTATCACTGCGACTCATTTGTTTTCTTTTAATGTAAAAAAAGTAAACAAAGAAATTGAAAATCCGGCCTTGTAGCTCGGCTATAACACAAATATGGTCTGCGGTTGATATGTTTTTTTTTCTTGTCTAATATTTCCACATCTTAACACTTGGTTAGCCCTTCCTTTGACAGTTTGACTTCCATTTCAAGATCACCATTTGCTCCTCTCGCCCATGGTGCCAGTTCGCTGTTTCCAAATATACCGTACATTATAGCAGCAAACACGGCGACACCCGAGGCTATATAAAATACAATCCTCCATTCGTCACTAGTACCCTGAAACCATGTAACATGTTCATGATAATTATATTTCTCATTTGAAATTTTGTTTGTCAGGGGTTTTTTTGTTAAAAATCAGTGCGTTATTGGACGTTCTGTACTTCTTTTTGACATGATAACTGCGTTACCCACTTACTGATTATCACGATAATTGATCTGTTTTATAGATTTGATTAAAACATTTAGATTATATTATTCAATCTTAAACATGCATTTATGTTTTGATTAATTATGACTTCTTCTTTTAATTCATTTTTAGTGATAATTAAGATTTGTAAATAAAATAAATCATTTTTCAGATAGGTTTAATTGCTTCTGTTTATGATCCATATACAAGCAATTCAAATTAAGTGCTTACGTCTCATGAAACAAACGTTTTCATTTCATGTAGTTAACTTACAGATTTTGTAATCTCTCCAACTGCAATAGGTGCGATTATACCAGGAATTGTTGCAATAGTGTTTGATACAGCGAATATAAGAGACGAATACCTGTTTGAAAAATAATCAATATACACATACATATTCATCAGCCAAAATATTAACCTTATTTTTAAAAAGTCAGCACTTAAAAATATACATTCAATAAGAAACCCTTAGTTTCATTTTCACTAAATGCATGTTTCTTTGAATTACATTCGAAACGGGTTCGGCACATTAATTAATAAGGATTTACAATACCCCAACTATTTGTTCAATCGACTTAGTCAATTATAAGAACTGTCAATTTTTAATTAAACTTTTTAAGATTAATAATACTGCAACATAATAGTATATTGTCAGGTGGAGAAAGAGTGAAGGGTGGTCTATTTCAAGCTAAATTTTGCTGGTACAAGAAAGTCTTTTATCAACACCAGCGTTCTAAGAATAAACTACATAGCTATGATGAATAAAGTTATTTTCATTCACTTTTTACATATCCCTCCACTCTTTTCACCACCCTTGTATTCTTTTCTGGTTTTTGGTTCGGTGTCTTCTGGGTGCCCTGATGGTTGACTGGGTTGTGTCGGGGGCTGCGTTCTGTGAACGTCGCCTTTTCTTGTTTATCTTTGTTCTTATTCTTAAATTTAGAAAATGTGATTTACAATTACATTACCTAGGCGCTATATCTACTATATTTGGCAGGTGTCCGCCTGAAATGCCGATTGCTTCAAAAAACGTGCATAAACTGAAGCACGTGATCACCACATATCTATATTCACATGTCAAGTGTCCCGGGATTAAAATAAATATAGCCACACCAGCGAAACCTGGAAATAATTTTTGAAACTTAAATTCAAGCAGGTCTACTAAAGTAATGTATAACCTAATTAGGTTTAAAGAACATAATCGACAAGCAATAAAAGTTATGTTAAACAGTTAAGACACTGATTGAGTCTGTTCCAAGAATTCTTATGTCACTTAGCACCGCCATAAGAATCATTTAGTACCGATTCTAGCAGTTAAAAGTATTTGAATCAATTATCAGACGAAATTAACAACTATAAAACATGGATTTAGTCCGTTCTTACCGAATGTTTGAATTATGAATAAAGTGATATTATCGAAATATACGGCTATTACTTGTTATTTGAAAGACCTTTCTTATTGTAGTTATTGAAGTATTTTTCCACGAGCGGGCAAGATCTGCTCCTACTCCAGCAACCGCTATTCCAATCATGTAACTAAGGTAGGGTAAGCATGAGAAAAGTCCATTCTGAAACGCAAAACAAAATAAATAGTAGCTATTTGAAACAGTATACCTATAAAAAATTAATCTTGTAAAGCCACTCTTGTTTTCGATTTCACAGACACTCATTCAAAGTGTACATATATTGAATCAAATTTTATGATATGCACGGGAAACATCTCGTTGGAAACGAGATAGCTAAGTTGTGGGAACGAGACATTAAGTCATTCCAACAAGATCCCACAAATTAGTAATACCTCGGTCACAAATAAAACGGCCGTCTGCCGATTTAACGATTTTTACAACATCATCGGCTTTGACGATTTCGCGAACGCCGGCCATTATAAATATGATACTTTGCGTGGTCATGCAAAAATCTGTCGCCGGGGGATTATTTTTTCCGAAATGATCAAACAGTTAGCATTCAAAGAACGGGCAGTCGCCGCCCGACATCTTGACGGCGTCTGTACGATTTATCTATGGATCGGACGATCACCGCGTGGGCATTTTATGATATTCTTTTAATAATCAGTCAGTGGTCAATATGCCAGCAAAGAAGGCAGTTGATAGAGGCAAGATGAAATCCAATCAAATAATGCAACATTTGTAGTTTGCCTTTTCTTTAATACTAACACGCGTAGACGTTCTTGCTCGACATTAAGTTCATGTTAAATCCAAAAGAATTCACAGATACGTTTTTAGGCAACTACAAAAATTTTTAGCCGCAATTACAAAAAACTCAGGTCGCACTTACAAACTTGCTTGCATAATTTCAGTCGGCCATATTCCCTAGCCATGAAGGATAACTCTCTGTTTCCCTGTCTAAAATTCCACCAAATTATTCCCCTTTCAAATGAACTCAAAGAAGGGACTTTTTAAAAAGACTTTGTATTTATTTATTCTATTTTTTGTTCAGAAACGGACAATTTTTTCTTTACCTTTGTTTAATTTGCTTTCTATCAATATGTGGTTCCTATGGTAAACATATGAGTTTTGATGGTAAACAAATGAATTTTCTGAACCGAAAGTAATCTAACGCACAGCGTTGCTGTCATCACATGTAAACAATACATTAAATCAGTAAGAATATTGAGATATTTGTTTGACTATCAGTTTTAAATGCAAAATATTAATATGGAAAACAACTATGTGTAGTCTATGTGTATTGTTTTAATGTGTTTGTCTGATATTTTAGTTGTAAAAGCCATGTACACTTAGTGTCGCTTCATAGCAACCGATTTTAAACGTGAGCGGTAACTGAACGAGATATGGCAAAGCGCATGCTCGCGCACTGACTTCCGCTCTATCGAAATATTGCATAGACGTATAGCGAAAGTTCGTGAGTGGGTCGCACAATCGCCGAACGACAATACGATGACCACCCGGTGCCTGTGCATGAATCGTCCGGGTACGGGGCGGCACTCGTTTGCCAACTCGTGTCTACTCGGACGCAGGACGGGACCCGGGTGATGACCGGGCGGAGCCGGGCGATGTCCACCCGGGTGCCTGTAAAAGTGGACGATGTTTTGTATTAAAAACAATCGTCCGATCCGTAAAAACATCACCCGGGCGCCGTCCGTCGATTGGGCGATCTCAACCAGATGACATTTTTAAATCAGTAAAGCTTGGAGATCGCCATATGACATTGCCAATGCCGATGTAACTTCAAACCCAACCATCAACGGTCTAGACAAACTCGTTAATTTAGCAAGGAATTTTATTTTGAAAAAAAAAACATCTTAAAACGGTCCTGAATCTGAGATTTCTCTAAAGATCTCTTTTTATATTCAGATTATTTTATAGTAATATTGAACTTAAAAATAAAGGACCATATAACACAAGAAACTTAATGCCCTTTCCAACACAGGCAGTTGAATTTCAAGCAGTAGTTATAAAGTGACATACTTACACTTTCTATATCAAACTTTAGAATTTCTTTCAGAAACAATGGAAGGCACGTAACAAGTAGGTAGAACGTCCACGTGTCACACACATGACATAAAAACACCATATAAACAGGTAAGTAGCTGAGAATACTTGTCCATGGTACATCAGTTTTCTGAAAAAGGGCGTTAATCACCGTGTCATGTTTGTTTATGTTTAGCTGCATTTCCATTGACGTCAGTGGTAAGTATATACATATAAATTTGAATCGCATATTTCAAAATTAAACACGAACAGGCGAAGACGTGTGATAATCATGGAAGCACACGTTTACGTTAAACATCATAATTGAGACATGTATGAATATGTTTAAAACATCATTTCAGCAAACCCATGTCAACACTATGTACACTGCAAATTACTAGCATTTGCACAAAAAGTTCACTTTGAAATGTCGGATCTATGTTTCTCGGAAACAAATTACAGTATGAAAATTTTAATTTTCGTCAAAGCTACATACTTAACTCTAAATTCCTGGACGAAACTCTGCATAACTAAAAACTAGTATATCTGCTTAAAATGTAAAATCTATTTTTATTTTGTTCTCGAGTTTCAATTTTTCCACGTATTTACCTTTTTCCTTCTATCAGTGTGTGTGTCTTCTGGTACGTGTTTTAAAATCAGATTTCTTTCCGCAGACGATATTCTCGGATGATTATTTGGCGAACTAAAGGCCAGAAACCACCAGCAGCCAACAAATATTAACGTCAAAGTACCTGTCAAACATTTCACATAATTTGTGTCATTTCACGGAATCGCGGAACAATTATCATTGTATAATAACTCACTAGAATTAATGATGAAAACTCAAAAGAATGAACGTATAGCTTTGGAACAACTACATTTATAGTAAAAGGTTGATATAATGTAAATTACATCACCTTCAACCTCCTGCTATTTAAAACGAAAATCTGAGTTTTTTTAAAGCAGCATGTCTACAGAATCATGCTAAATTTCATGAATAAATTGAAAAATGTATTTCAAAGTCAAAAAAAGTATCTTATACATTATAAACGGCACTTTTCAGTCACGTGAATCACCAAAAAGAAAAAAAAATTGCACACAAAATAGCCGTTACTGCACTGGAAACGCAGGATAACAATGGTGATAAATACTGCAAAATCACTCATTTATTGCACAAAACATGTAAATCATTAATTGAATCTTGTATCATTTCACTTTTCTTTAAATCTTAATATTTTCTAGAAATATTTTGGCTCATCTGGATGCGTGCAGCTTTAAGGTTACAAAAGCTGCAGATAAAAATACTATTTATTGTTTTAATACTCTTAAGCTGACAAATGAAATAATTATGTTGTTTACCTTGTATATAAAATATTGATGCCCAACCATTATCAAAGCCATAGACACAAAGAAGTCCTGAAGTCGAGATACCGATAACTGCACCCAGGTGGTTCCCTGACAGAAAATTTTAAAAATATATATTGAAGTAAAATTGTCTGTATAAAACATAAATGAATGGAGTTCTTGCAGGATATCATAATGTTTCTTCATGCTAATTATAGGGTACTGGTATCTTTAGAGCAGTATGGTAAATTTTAAGTGAAAATACAAACTAAACATAACGTGTAATTAAAAGGTACTTTGGTGATATGATAATTACAATGACAATACAATAGTATTTTTATTTATAAGTATATAATAATTAACCATACTAAAATGCGACGATATGATGCTTTGAGCTTAAAGTGGTATCAGGTATTGATGGTATGCGGATATTATGGTATGAGGGTATGATGGTATATGATATGATGGTATAAGATATGATGGTATAAGATATGATGGTATAAGGATATGATCTATGAAATTATGATGGTATAAAGGTATGAGGGTAACATGGTGTAATGATATGATGGGATTAATAAAAAAGTTGTGTGAGGATATGATGGTGTGATGATATGATGGGATAAATAAAAAAAGTTGTGTGAGGATATGATGGTGTGATGATATGATGGGATAAATAAAAAAAGTTGTGTGAGGATATGATGGTGTGATGATATGATGGGATAAATAAAAAAAAGTTGTGTGAGGATATGATGGTGTGATGATATGATAGGATAAATAAAAAATGGTGTTAGGATATGATGGTACATGTATAAGGATGTGATGGTATAAAAATTTGATGGTTAAATGATATAATGGTTTGAAAATATTATGGAATGAGGAAATTAAAGTTCGAAAATATGATGGTTTGAGGATATGATGGTATAAAGAGTTGATGGAAAAATATATAATGGTATGAAATCTGATTGTATGAGGATATGACTAAATTAGGATTTGAAGATATGAAACTACATTTGTGTTAGTATACTATTATTTGAAATAAAACCAGAAATGGTGAGGAAAATGCTATAAAATAGTTTATATGATGCTTTGTTTGACATTACATCAATCAGCTGAGGTTGGCGACTGTGACTGTATAAAGCATTGTTCAATCTTAATCACTTATATATGCTTATTTCTCTTACCAAACCAACATATTCCAAGAAATCGGCTTCTTTCCGTCGGTAAAGCCCAAGTTCCAACAAGCCCATAAATGCTTGAATTTACCGTACCCTGAAATGATAAATAGCTTTAACTTGAATTTACCGTACCCTGAAATGATAAATGGCTTAACTTTTATTTACTATACCCTGAAATGATGAATGGCTTAACTTGGATTAACTGTACCCTGAAATGATATATAGCTTAATTTGAATTTATTGTACCATGAAATGATACATGGCTAATAATTTAAAAATCTGTGCCTGTCGCTATGCTGATTATGTTACATATGTGAACTTTGATAATCTATATGTTGTAAAATATTTATGTTTATATCTTAAATATGAACGGCAATTTCAAATTCATTGAACTCTTTCTTCATCACAGCTTTATTACATCATACTTTATTTTTTTAAAAAGACATTGACTCTAACAGTCTGATCATGGTCTATGCTGTTCGCTATTAAGTCAGTACATATTTTTTAATTAACTTTAAATTGATTTACGTTTTTTTTTGTCCAGATTTAGGTTAGGGTTGAAGATGCAAGTGTTGACACACTCTTGTTTATAGGGAAAATAACTGAATGGCGAGTTTTTGTTTTCAGTTTATCTACATTAAAGCTGCATGCCTCGAGATGAGCAAAAATATTTCAAGAAAATCAAACTGCAGAAAAATGTACTGAGATTTTGTGATAAGAAAAAAAAGATTCAAGATTCTGGTAATAATTTACATGCTATGTGTGATTAATGACTGACTTTGCAGTATTTATCACCATATTTCTTCTGTGTTACTAACGCAGTATGGGCTAATTTTGCTTATTTTGACGTTTTGTTGGTAATGAACGTAGATTGTGATTGCCGATTGCAATGTATAATTTAATTACTTGCTTTGTTCACTTAACAATATTTCACTTTTAAATATAAGTATATTTTCATTTTCTTTTTTTTTTTTGGTAAAAAAATAGCATAAGTCTCGAGGCATGCTGCTTTAACATGGGTGGTGTATTCAAATATATATTCGTTGTATCATTGTATTTTGTGCAATTTTGTCGAGTATATTATACATAAACCCGAACAAGTGGGAAGTACGTGCTAAAACTCCAACAAAAATAGTTAACATTATTCATGATAGGCATGGCATTATTCTGTCTCCTAAACTTAACTCAATCAAACACCTTAGTATCTGATAAATAAATCTAGATCACAGCTACCGATATTTTAATTGAAACGTTATAACAATTACTTTTCAAAAGTCAAGTCTAACACCTTTTTATTTATTAATTATACTTCGAAATAACTGATTCATTACTATCTTGCATGATATGGAAGTGTATATATAACATGGCTAAACAAATGCATACTATACATAATCCGAGAACAGATCTTGCAGCAATTACAACATAGTAACTGTTTCTTGCAAACACTGGCATTAGAATTGTTAAAATAGACGCCGTTAACATGCTGATACAGACGACAAGTTTCCCGCCAAATCTTGACACAAACAATCCACCTGGGATTTGCATGACCATATATCCATAGTAATAGCTCGATAAAATTAATGATTGTGTTTTCTTGTCCCAGGAAAATTCTGCCCGCTGTAAGAAAAGGTAAACTTTCTCCATTTTCTTTTATTTATGCAATATATACTGATATGTATTATGCACTATGTTTAAAGACAAAACTTCGTTCGGACATAATTTTCAACATAACTCTGTCTGTAAGGACTGGAAGCAAAGTTAATACATTTTATAGTTTTTCGTATGCCACATTGAATGAAGGTTACAAAGAAACTGATTTACACCTTTCACATATTAAACGGTAGAAGTGGTTATTTCTAGAACGGAGAAATTCCTTTGTCATCAAAATGTCACATATTTTTCTTAAGTACTATAGACTTGCTTTTAGATAAATTTCTTGTGTATGCAGTTGCCTTTTGATAAATTTCTGATGCATTAACTTGTGTAGAAAATGTTGTACATTGCATTGGCTCCAAATCATTAATTAATTGCAATCTTCTTAAGAAATACTCTATATGTGTTTCTAGGTGTGACTACATGAATGTTAGTGTAGAATGTCTATGTCACAGTGTAAGACATCAAAAATCTAAATTTTGTCAAGAGGCATATCTTTAAGAATTTCGAACTGTTATACTATCATATAAATTGGCAACAATAATTAATAGATAAATCTTATCAATAAATATAGATCTTAAACGATAGAACAGTTAATCTACTAACCTCACGTTTGATTGAATTTGAACTTGAAACTGTATCACACGATCTTGCTGTTTCCAGTGGCAATGTTAAGTTTTCATCATCTTTCGAGTAACTCAATGACATATTATGATTGTTTAAGTATAAATCATTGTCTAATGTTTCATTTTCGCTTCCAATTTTTAAGTACGTATTATGTAGTGTTCTATTTCCGTGATTACCGATGTCATGTTTTGATTTCACCATGCAAACAATCGCAAAATTCATATTTGTGTTCAGCATGAAGGCCATCACACTCAACCACATTGCCATGAAAGCCAGGATCAACCGCTGTGAACAACAATAGCCGGCTGTACGAGTACTGTCAATACTAGCATCATTGCGAGTTTCTATATAAAGGGAAAACATATGAGCCGCGTCATGGCTAAACCAACATAGTGCGTTTGCGACCAGCATGGATCCAGACCAGCCTGCGCATCTGCGCAGTCTGATCAGGATCCATGCTGTTCGCTATCAGTTTCTCTACTTGTAATAGGGTTGGTAAGCGACAGCATGGATCCTGATCAGACTGCGCGGATGCGCACTCAGGTCTGGATACTTGCTGGTTGCAAACCCATTATGTTAGTTTTGTCGTGACGCGGCTCTACAAATTTAGCACATTACCTAGCTACTGCTGCCTAGCAGATGGTTTTCATATGGAGTACCTCCATTGGTCACATGAAAACCTAGGACCAATGAAAATACTTAAAGGGAAACAAATCTGCTGTGCCAATTTACTTTCATTTTGGATTGAGAATTTGACATATAGGAAAAAAGGTGCGTTATAGTTTCATATGATGCTTTGATTGATCAATTATTACAAATAATAATTTAATTTTTTTATATTAGAATACCCAAAACAAAGAAATATTCATTCACTGTGAATTTAGTGTGTTTTACTCGTAAGAGTTTTACCGAAACAGTGCAATCAGATCTCTTCCGAGTTTCATTTGTTGACAGTTTGGGCTTGAATATTTCTTGCTATGTATTATCAGCGAAGGTGCTAGTGTTGGTTTCTTAAAGAGTATTTATTTATCTAAGATTTGACACCAAGATTGTTAAGATTGGTGAACAATTGATGAAAACATGTGCTGATAATTGAGATGCTAGTGATATTTCTATGCAAAATGAAAGTAGAGTAAAATACCTTTATAATCTTTTAGTCATAAAATTATTTTTTTTTCATAAAATTTATTTTTGTCAAATTGAATACTTATGATGTTTGGATGATGTTTTAAGGGTTTTGTGTTGTAGCGGGGGAACGGGGGTATAGTGTAAGTCATGGCCACGCGACGTTCACCTGTGGACCGACTCTGTGACCTTCCTCTTTGAATTATTTATATTTCCTTTAATACCAATGGACAAACCCGATTTTGTTTTCGTAACTTGAACATATATTTTAAAAAATATTACCTCTTTTGATTTTAGATTTTACATCTCACCTTGAAATTTCTCGTCTTCGTTATAACAGATGTCTTCTGACAATAGACTGTCGTCTGCCTTTTCTGCGTTCATTTTTAATAATAGAAATTTTGGTCTGAAAACTGAAAAGAGAAAGCCAATATTTGTGGTAATCAATTACCCCCAAGACACCCCTAGAATACCCAAAGACACCCCTAGAATACCCCCAAGACACCCCTAGAATACCCCCAAGACACCCATAGGGAAGGCCATTGGTATATGGTATCAGCTTTTTTGTAAGCAATGATTTGTTATACGAGTATATGCTTGCATACAGCGCATCTAATCAGAAAATGAAATAAATGTTTTTATCCGACAAATAAATAATTAATACTAATTCAAACTTCTTTTGAAACGATTACAGATTCAAGATAAACATTTTGTATGTGCCACATGTGTGTAGGTCTGTGCACTCATGTTTTCTTCAACATATTTTAACTGTGACAAATTCACCATGGCCTTTGGTTGAAAATACTTAAATCTATGGGTTTGGAGGCGAGTTATAACAATTTTGAGGACAATTCATTACGTCATTTAACACAATTACTAACTGAGTAAAATTTAATGTACATTTTCAATAAACAATAAACTTGAAGTTATAAACCACCTACTTTTTAAACAAGTCATTTATTGAATAAGAATCATTTACTTTAAAACAAACTTCATGTCTACTTTAGTGTTTTACCTCACTTTAATTACAAACCTAATAGCTCCATAAAGGGGATAAGTAATATAAATGTTATAATATCCCATGCAAAGAACGTATATTTTCGTACAATGTTTGCCTAACAAGTTTTTCCAAAGATGCTACGAACTTTAATATCACACTGCCGGTGTATCTGTAAAAATATGTATTTATTTTCAGGTAGTAACATAAGTTACATAACTCGGCATTCTCGTATGTTGATTTAATTAAATGTTTTGCTATTTTACTTTTATCATTCTTTGTCAGTACTTTTTCCACGACCAGCGATGAATGTTTGATACTTTTCTTATTTAACAATTAAATTTAAATTTCCGATGATAACGGCGTATAAGCATCTCGTGTTTTCTAAATTTTAAAATTCACCATTTTATGTTAAAAAGTTAAACTTGACTCACCCGCCAAACCTCTACGCAGGGCTGTAGGGGGGGGGGTTGACTGTAAAATTTACAATTGACAGATGAACAGCTCAACAAACCGCTTCAACATTTGATTTTGTTTTCTAGACTTCTTTAAATTTTATTTTTCCTTAGTTACCAAAAAACATTTGAACGGATAAACAACCGGGTTTATTAAATCATTTGTACAAATGTAAAAATTTTTTTGTACAAATTACATTTACTGCGTTTTTATACACCAATCTGTGCTGTTTTATTGTATTATTTTATCTTCGTTATTCTTAAAGTTTAAATATATGTTTTATACGCATAAAAAATCACACTATCAAATTGCTTAAACGTTTTACAGTGTGTAATTTATATGAGCCAATATTGTGATACATCTCAACATGTAATGAACCTAGTAAAAGTACCTATGAAAAATTCGGCTGGTATTTTCTTTATCAATCAAAAATGATCTTCTCAGAATATTTGATGATTGTTGAAATTATGTAAATCTCTTGATGTCATACACTATTCGTTAGTTTGCTTGTTTTGTGTCCTCATTGGCTTTAAAGCCTTTTAGAATAAAATAAAGGGTCTACTATGAAATGTCTATATATCTTCAAAGGTCAACATAAATTACGTCACAAATAGTTAAACTCTAATGCTTTAAAGTGTTTACAAAAACACGGGTTAAATTTTAATAACAATTGTTGTCAACTATTTATATGGTTTACAGTTATACTTATACATAGGAAAAAATAATCCAATTGCAAAAAATAGACGTACATAAATAACCCCCGGTGACGTGTGTTCCTCATGGTCGGGTTTAAATAGATCATGTAAATGAAGATTTTAAGTCGATTTTCTATCCAACGTACACCATCATTGATTGAATATTCATTTCTACTCTATTTTTCCATCTTGCTAAATTTGCCGATCTTACGTTAACTTTTTGACTAACTTTACTGACATAAAATGAATGAACCTTGAACATAAAATATTACGAAACAAATGGCTTGTTGTATAGAGTGGTTAAACGTACAATATAGAACTTACTAAAGCTTACATAATCCTTTACAATCCGAAAAAGTTTCCTTTAAAACATATGAAAGTATTTTTTTTCACACCACAACTTGTATTTTCTGCATTATACGAGTATTGATCGCTCGCATCAATTTCATTGTATGTTTCACACTGATATTGTTTGCGCAAGGATGACTTTCATACATTTGTATCTCACAGTTGAATCGTTTACCAATTTAACATGCAATTTGCGTTAACTGTCTGTCGGGGATAAACATAAAGCATGCTCGCTGTATGTTTGGCTACATTTTTATGGGGTTTACTCATTATGTCGACAAGGAAATGGATAATAAAACACGCTTCTCTCCTCGAACAAATCAGATACCCTTGTGTTTCGATGCTCTTTCCATTTTTACAATTGTAGAAATTTTTAATTTAAAATACATGTGAATTAGCGAAAATGTTTATCTACAAAATATTAGTTTATTCAAGATTCACGAGGCTTGAATTATATGGCAGTCGTTAATTTACAAACTAACAAAATTAATAGTTTCTAACACTGGATCTAGCACTAAAAGATCTAAATTATAAATTTCGCTTGGAGTCTATATGGACTATTTGATTTTGGAATTATGTGTGAATTTTAGGGATTGAATTATCTAAATATCATTCGGTGAACTTCTTAAGATAGTGAATGGAAATTGCAAAGAAAAATAAAAAGCTGAGAAAATCGAAGTCTTTGCCAGAGAAATGTATTTTTAACACATTCGTATATCAAGCCATGGTTTTAACCCCGGTTTAGAGTCAAAGAGTAAAAATGCCTTTTGTGCCCCCTACAGTTTACCATGGATGTTCCAAAATGCCACTTCTATTAAACCAAGCCAGCATATGCATATGAAATAACTACAGTTTTCAAAGACCACCTATTACATAGAAAGGTCGGTGTTTATATTCAATAATATTATAGGGAAACACAACTTGAAAACAGAATTGACTCAAAACTTGAAATGTTTAATACATACGAAACTACAAAAAAACTTATACAATATTGAGGAGAATATAAATGTGTAAATTAGATACAGAATAATTACCTCAATATAATGTTTTCTCTAAGTCTTTGGTGCGTGGTCAAACCTGAGTTTGACATAAAAATCTGATAATGCAAAATAATTCGCTTGTTATAACTTGTTATGAAACCACTACAAAATAGAAAAAAAAATTAACAAAAAAAACATCAGTAATTGCAACAAGAAATGCAACTGAAAATCAAACAGATGTTCACGGTAACACAGATTTTCTAAACCGCAAAGTCAATAAGATATCTAGCATCCATGTAACAGTGCTGCAAACTATTGTATCCGTCTCTTGTGAAAGTACTCAAAGCAGACCTTCTTGTTACGAACAAAATATACCTGTACACGGTTGACCTGAGATCAACAACATCATAGTAATATCTGACACTGGACATACCTGGTACTTGAACGCTGATGGAAATTGCTGCTTTCGGAAATATACTATAACAGCTCTATTAGGACTATGTAATATGTACTCTCGTGGAACTAACATGGATTAAACTCCAAACTGAATGATAGGATAGTAATTTTTTCAGTCATCATAATTACCAAATTCAAATATGAATGACTTTGAATATGTTAACTGCCTGAGACCAAATAGTTAATCGAAAGCTATACGGAATAGCAGTAATATCGTTTTTAACTGAAATGTGTTTATAAGTTAAAAGTAGTGAGTATTGATAAATGGGCTAGGCTGCCAACTTCACGAGCATGTATTGTTACTATTAAATTATCTTATTGGAGCTGATGAAAATGTGTTATGGATGATATTTTTTTTTCAAATATAACAGTATCACCCGGAGACTCTTATGTTTATAAAACATGTTAACTCACACCTATGTAGATATCATTATTTTAATCAGCTTGGCGATTGCATTCGTAAATATAGTGACAAAAGTTATATATTAATTGTATACGTATTGAATTGATGATTTAAACAAGGACGGAACAGATGACTCTTTAAACTTTGATCGCTATGTATTTCAGAACAAAATACAATAACATGTAAAAATACTAAAGACCAAGACTCCAAAATAATAGAGAAAAACAGTGCCCCAAAAGAACGCCAAAAACGACAAATTTGAAAAATGTTGCAAGCTCGGTTTATTTGATACTGTTCATTAATGGTTCTCGTAAGTGCAAGCTTCCGTCCACGCCATCTTAAGCAGAATTCAACATTTAACATGAAGACATCAAACGATTTTTAATATGAACAATTTAGAAGGAACAAACGTATACAAATCTTATTGTATTTTTTTTTTTTTGAAAAATCATTTGATACTGTAAAATGAGAGGTTCACTGGATAAAATTGATTGTAAATGGTGTCAGCTGTAAAATAGATTACTATGTTAAATCACTATATTCTTCTGTATTATCTTTTGTCAAAATTAATTCTTCATCAAATTTCTCAGATAACTTGGAAGTAAGTTTGGCCACAGGTTGTTTTGTGGGGCCTTTGAAGGAACTCTAAGATCGAATGCTAACGGATTATCAAAGTCTTCTCGCGCATTTTGATAGAAAAAAAGTCGATGTTAAGATAACATAATACTTGAAACATTTGAATAAATGGAAGGTCCAATCTTGTATACGAGTCAGAAATTAAGAGTGCATATAAACCAAAATATATAAATAAACTACATTTGAAAAAAGTTGACAATATTGACTCCAAGATATTATTGGAAAGATTTGTATTTGAATAATATCAAAACTTTGTCAAATTCTGGCAAATGCTTCTTCCTTCGAAAGTAAGGAAAAGGATAAATAGGGGATGAGAATTGCAGACTCATTTTGTTTCAAACTGCTCATCTAAAGCCAATGAAAAGTCGTATTTTGGAATCTGTTTTGTCTTTGATAGAGGTACTGCCAAGAGGACTTCTATATCATATCATCATATGAATGCATTTGGGAGAACAATAGGGCTAACCTTCTTTAAAACAATGTACTATTCAAATAAAATGCACTTAAAATGTCACTTTCAGGTACTCATTATCAATTCAGCTATCAAAATATTTGTTTAAATATTAATTTTATTGTAATATTAATACTTTATAGATAAATAACGTTCAGTAAAACATGTACAAATTTTGTGAAAAAATTTAATTTTGTCCTATTTTTGCACATCCAAGCCATTGGTTAGCGCTTCTTTTGACGGTTCGACTTCTATTTCAATATCATTTTCTGTCCCTCTCGCCCACGGTGCCAATTCGCTGTTTCCAAATATACCGTACATTACAGCTGCAAACACGGCGACACCCGAGGCAATATAAAATATAATCCTCCATTCTTCACTAGTACCCTGAAACAAAATAACATGATCATGATAATTATATTTCTCACTTGACATTTAGTTTGCTAAATCGCATTTAACTGTAAGTTTGTTACTTGATTACAATTTATATGTGTAGAAAGATTACGTTAACTACATACTGATAAAATTCAGTCTTATAGATTTTATGTAAAAAAACTTGAATAGACAAAAAGAAATGTTAAGAAGAAGAAGAAGAAAATTTTATTTAACCTATACATTTACATGTATCTCGTTATACATCAACTAGTAATAGGAATAAAATATTTTGTCGCGGTTGGTATTCAAATAAAAGAGAATAATTAATGTTTCAGTTTATACAATATGGAGAATAAGCTCTAATAAATATGAATTAGATATTGAATAACAACAATTTTTCACTAATAAAGTGTCTAACAATGAATATAATACATTGTAGTCTTAAAGTCTAGGATATGAATTCAATAAATCATTTCTATTCATATTGGCTAAATAAAAAATTTGCTAACATTTAAGTAATTTACTTACAGATTTAGTAATTTCTCCAACCGCAATAGGTGCGATTATACCAGGCATTGTTGCAATTGTGTTTGATACAGAGAATATAAGAGACGAATACCTAAAAAAGTATGTGACAGAAACTTAAAATAGATTGTTTTAAATTACTGTGTCGTACATGTATTAAACAAAATAATAACTTATTTCGTCGCCTTAGTGCAGTTACGGCTTAACCCCTACTGATTTCTAATAACAGTTAACCCGTTACTGCATTAAAATGATTATATTAAACCAAAACATTATAGAAGAAATAATACAGAAACGACTTTGACTTGATTATGTCTCAGTGTGCATCATGTAAACTAACCAAACAAAACTTGAGTCCGTTCCAATTTAGAATATGACTTTCAAAATACTCCCGACTTACCTTCTAACGGGTTGGATAAGATATTTTTTTAATCTCTAATACTGTCAGCATAATTTCTATTATTCTATTGACAGACCGATGACTTTGTTCTTTACAAGTGGTACGGAGATAAAATGAAAACAAAGAGCAATAAAGCAAGGCGACCTGCACAGAACGCTGGCAACTCATTATTTGTGTCAATCGGCTTCCAGGTGTATAAAACATTTGACAAGTTAATGTAAATCATTCGTTACCTTGGCGCTATGTCAATTATATTTGGAAGGTATCCTCCTGATGTTCCGATTGCTTCAAAGAACGTGCATAGACAGATACATGTGATCGCCACATATCTATATTCACATGTCAAAAATCCCGGTATTAAAATAAATACAGCAATGCCCATATAACCTGGAAATATTATAAAAACAAGCAACAGTAGAAATCAAAAAGGGAAGGAGCAAGAAGATAACGTCATATTTTGACCGTTTGAGTAAATGATTACTTGTTGATTTGCTTGCTTTGATAAATATATCGCCTTTGTTTATGTTTGGTATAAAATGTTTATAACGTTCATCAATATCTGCAATTCTCAAAGCTTTATAATTAAGAGGCAAGTTATGGAAAGTGTCGATTTTACCGAGAGATGACGAATGTTTCGTGAATTTCTAATCTAAATCATATTATCGAAATATACGGCTATTACTTGTTATTTGAAAGACCTTTCTGATTGTAGTGATGGAAGTGTTTTTCCACGAGCGGGCGAGGTCTGCTCCTACTCCAGCAACCGCTATTCCAATCATATAACTGATGTAAGGTAAACAAGAGAAAAGTCCATTCTAAAACAAAACAGTGAAAAAGGTATATGAATAAACAATGAAGACGCAATCGACGTTTACACTTTCTTATTATGATTTCAACTTTAAAATAACAAAAACGCCATAAAAGCAAGCAAAATAAACGATATACATGCACGAATTACTTTGATAAAAATTTTCATTTAGAGATGAGATGACGAATTTATAGCTGAACGAAACAAGTTTCCAACAAGTAAGGGTTCTTTCATAGATTTTTTGCATGTTTTAAAATAAACTCAAAATAAACAGATACGTCTCAAATGCTTTGACTAGAAATTAGTTTAACACAAGCTGCAAAAAACTATGTCCCCTTTGGAATCCGCTGTTACAAATGATTAGGAAACATGTCTTGAACTTTTTTTAAACTGCGAGCAACCTATCTAACAGATGTGTTTTGAACTATTCGATTATCTCTAAGATACAAATGAAACAATGTGTCTTGATAAAACAAATTCTTAAGCCGGTCAAGCCCCATACAGCAAACGATTTTGAAATAATGACAGTACCGAGTAGAAGTAAAACGTCTTTATATAGTACTTACGCTTTCTATATCAAATTTGAGCACTTCTTTAAGAAACAATGGAAGACACGTGACAAGAAGATAGAAAGTCCACGTATCACACACGTGACATAAAAACACTATATGCACGGGTAAGTAGCTGCATATATTTTTCCATGGTACTTTATTTTCCTGAAGAAGAAAATGTAATGCAGGGATGGAAAATACTTTTTTAATATTGAGATAAGTACTTTTTTAGATTCTATACATATCTCGTTCATCTCGTGAAAGTTAGACTTTCATATACAAGTTATTATAACTTTAAAATTAGGCTGATTTTCAAAATCATCCGCTTTTGTTGCTGTACATAGTTATTCTTAAATATAAAATTGCTTCATAAAACAACATTTCATTTAGTAATAGCACTGGCTCCTCATGTATATGAGGTAAGTGCAGTTTCCCGACTGTGACTCAAAAGTCTTTCGAAAAGCTCTTATACAAACATTTACACTAGGCATACCGCTGTTGGTTGGAATCAAAAATGGACTTTTGATGTTAGAAAGTTATCCAGCAAGCTTACGAAACATTTGTGGTTCTTCTCAGCTGCCCGTTCGTGCCTGAAATAATGCATGGAGGGGCACCTGAGGTTTTCCTCCACAAGTAAAGCTGAAACGTCGCCATATGACATATAATGTGTCGGTGAAAAGTAAAACCCAATCAAACAAAGAAACATCCATGCTCAAATGCTAACACAATAATTTTGTATTATATAAAAACTTACATTTTTCCTGGTATCAGTATTTTGGTCTTGTGGAATGTGTTTTAAGATTAGATTTCTTTCTTCAACCGATATTCTCGGGTGCTCTTGTGGCGTATCATATATCACATACCACCAACAGCAAATAAATACCAACGTAACAGCACCTGTAAATAACACCTTTATCTTTTGAACATTTTTAATCATGCCTGTAAAAGGTCATCGGATCACTCACAATAGTTTGAAACAGCGAAACTCCAATAGATGAATACGTTGTTGGCGCAATGATAAAATTGAATATATATGTTTATTTAATTGCGTTTTACGTCACATTGACACAGCAAAGGTCATGTGGCGAAGTTCCAGTTTTATTGGTGGAGGAAGACCTCAGGTGCCCTTTAGTGCATTATTTCAGGCACGAACGGGCACCTGAGTAGAACCACTGACATTCTGTAAGCTAGCTGGATAGCTTCCTCATATGAAATAATCCAAAGTCCCTGTCGGGATTCGAACCCAAAGTGGTGAGGGGAGAAAGTTAAAATCTAATAATGATTTAATTTTAGCCTAAATTGATACGCAGATCAAACAAAATATACAAAACTTATGATTCCCTGTTTAAGTTGTTATGTTTAAACTCCAAATCCTCTTAAATATAAATGCACATGTATATTATATTTCAGGAATTCAAACAACTTTACAACAAACAAAAAATATGCAACTCCTGGCTAGAATGCTAGTTTTACCTTGTATATAAAATATGGACGCCCATCCGTTGTCAAAGCCGTAAACACAAAGAAGTCCGGAGGTCGAATAACCTATGATAGCTCCCAGGTTCTGTCCTTAACATAATAAATATTATTTCAAATCTAACACAAATCTTTGAAAGTTTATCATGTATCAAAAGTTGAAGTTTACAACAATTTTTTATATAAAAAATATTCATATCAATAGGAGAACGTTGAGTGCACAGCAGTTTACTATTGACAAAGTTGATACAGTGAAACGGTGCTATATTGGAGGAGCTTGAAACTGTATACCAGCATGACAGGATTCTCAGACTATCTTTATACATTTATATGGCAGAATAAAGGAATGATATAATGGTTTAATAATGCAATGATATTAAAACATGTTGGAGCAATTATATTATGACATGATGATATGATATGAAGTCATGAGAATATTAAGTATGCAGATAAAAAAATTAAACATACTGTAACAATGATAAAATAGAAAATAAATATGATGTTATGGTGGCATAATAATGGTTTTTTGTTCGTTATTCCTTTCCCAGTCTTCACAATAGATAAACCCAGACAAAAAATAGTTTATCAACGAGCATGCTCTAATTTTATCCCCGACATACAATGGGTTACTTAAGTGCGGGTAACTAATCATATAAATATCTGCACTCCAGTCAACGCACTGTTTGGGTATAATACAATTTCCTCTAACATATATTAAATAGAGAGGTTTCCAAACTATGATACAACAATGAATTTTTTAATTGAATCCCTACAAACCTGGTATCAAAAAACTGCCCATGATAATTTTGGGAAATTAAATACATTGATTTTTTTTTTAAAATTGCAAGAAACATGTTTTGAAAAGGGGGGTGATAAATATTATGAGCTTTGTAAGGAAATAAATGGGTTAAAAAAATTGATGGGTCTGGTTAAATCGTAAAAAAATGCTTTACAGTTAAAAACTAAAAGGAATATTTTTTAAACTTGAGCTGGTCCTTTGATTTTCTTTAATGTTATGTGATATTTGATAGCCTAATATCAAAACATTGTAAACAAATTGGCTTCGTGTAGGAAATTACGTTATTATATAATATAATATTGAACGTTGGAAATTTTGTTTTGGACTTACCAAACCAACACATTCCAAGAAACCGACTTCTTTCTGTTTGAAGAGCCCAGGTTCCAACTAACCCGTATATACTGGGAGCCACTGATCCCTTTTGAATAACATATATTTTGTATAAAATGATGATGTACAGTTTGTGCAAGGGTGTGCAAGAAAATTACTTTGTATTCATGTAAATGAACAAAACTAATTTTTATTTAAGCAGCAACAATTATATAACATAAATCATACAAATCACTATTTACAGATATACTTTCATCTTGGTCTGCCACAGTTAGGTTCTTGGTTTCATGCTATCTTTTCAAACCCGTATGCATCTGATATAAACGAAGCATAAGAAAATCTTTCAAAGCCGTATGTTACTTTAAGGAAAGATCGCAATTGAAAGACTTGAAAGACATATAAACGGATGTAGTAACATCCGCAAGAAAAAACCCATAAGCCTATGCAGGGAGAAATAATTTCGGGTTTGAATGAAACCAGAGGGGAAATCGTTTTCAGACATTAAAGAAACTGATCTGTCCTTGCCCGAGGGCATGAAGAAAGATATGTTATTCTTGAATTTGGTTTTTTATTTCACAGACATACGATTTAATGTCAATTGTTTTGATGTATAACCATGCCTTAAATAATCATTGATACTATAACAGTGTAGAACTGACAGTTCAAGGGCAGCTTCCAGCATGTCACATGCTGTTGACACCGTCTGCATAAGTGACTTGCCTTGTATTGGAAGGAAGAGGTACAAATATCATTCCAGAAAAGGCTATTCATATATTTTTCAAAGTTTGCAGAAAAAGCAAGTTTGCAGAAAAAGCATTTGCTGACTGTTTATGATTACCATATAGTTGTGCTTGTCAGAAAACATCTTTGCATTTTCAGCGACTCTTTCAAAAATGACTATGTATGATTTTATGCATATTTTATAAGCATATATGTTTTTGGTTTGTAAAATTTTAAAATTTCCCCCCTTTGTTAAAAAAAGTGGTATAAGAAGTTTTCAAAAAATGTAATTTTTTTCCAAAAAACAATCCAAGTCCCGCTTTTGCGCAAATTTCCGAAAAGACGGGTTCTTGCAAAAAGTAGGCCTAAATTAAAGTTTCGAGACGACCGTATTTAAGTGATGCAAACCACCCTGGGTTTTCCCCCCAAAATTTTTGGAACAAGCCATCCAGCTGGGAAAATTTTAATCCAAAACCCTTCCCTAATAAAAATGGATAAAAAACCCGGAAAACTTTTGGGTTTTTTTGTCCAAAGTAAAATTCTTTTCTCCCTTTTAAAAAAATTAAAAATTTTTATACAAAATAATTTTAAAATTTTAAAAGAAAAGCACCATCGCCTTGGCTTAAAATTTGGGAAAATTAAAATAAGGTTTTGAAAGTTTTCGAGTTTTGGGGTTTTTGACCCAAATAAGGAAAAATTAAAATTTTTTGAAAAAATAATAGAAAACGGGCATCGAACAAAAAATGCTTCTGATTTTTTATTTAGGGGGCAGATAGACAACGGTTTTAATTTGGAGGAGGTTTTAAAACCCCCAATAAAAAAAACTGTACTCCAAAATTTTAAGCACTTTTGGGGTGGGTGTTTCGGGAATATTTAAATTTCAAAAAAATCCTAAAATTTTAATATGAAAGGGTTCCAAATATGAAAAACAAGGCACGTTTTTAAGGTGGGGGGAACCCTTAAGTTAAAGAAGGGGTTTTTAGTTTAAAAATTTTTTAAAACCAAAGCAAATTTTTTAAAACCCCCCCCCGTTCCTTTAATTTTTTTCAAATTTTTGGGGCCCCAGAAAAATTTCTTTAATTATTTGGAAAGGCCTTTTAAAGAAAAAAATTTTTCAAGGGAAAAAAAACTTTGGGAAGTTTTTTATTTTGGGGAATTTTTATATAAAATGTGATTTTTAGTTTTCTTAAAAATTGGTTTTAAACCCCTTTCCCCATATTAAAACCTACTTTAACTTCCTTTTAAAAATTAAATAAAAGCTTTTACCTTTTTTTGAAAAATTTTTTATCCCCAAAGAAAACCCCCGGGTGGGTTCTTTAAAAAAGGGCCCCAAGGTCAGAATTTTTTTTTAATTAAACCCGATTATTTTTGCCCGGAAAATTTTTAATTTTTTGTTTTTAAATTTTTTTTTTCCCGTTTGTTTTTTTATTTGGTTTTTTTTCTTTTTTTTGGGAAAAGGAGGAGGTTGGTGGGTTAAAATTTTTTTTTAAAAAACATGGGTGGTTTTTTCCGAAAAAATAGAAAGAAAAGTCAACTGTTATTTTTTTACCAAAATTTTACACGATCGCAAGATTCATACTTTTAGTTCAAGAAAGGAAAAGGGAAAAATTAAACTAAAACCCTATTTCCCCCTTAAAAAGGGCCCGGGGTTTCCCGCGCTGGGAAAAAGAAAGGGGGGTTTTTGTTGGAAAGTGTAAAAACTTCCCGTTTTTCATTATTGGTTTCCCGCATAAAGAAAATGAAAAATTTTTTTACAAATTTATTTTGATAATTTTAAAACATTTTTGAATAAATGTAGTTTCTTGTCCAAAATGAATAAAATTGTTGTTTTTTATTATATATAAAATGGGAAATTGGGCGTACTTTAAATGTATGTCAAAAAAAGACTTTAAATTTTTAACACTCCCTTTTATTATCTAAAAGATCTTAAATTTTTTTAAATTTTTTATTTTATCAAAATGGGGTTTACATGGGTTTTTGTGTAAAATTTTAATTTTGTCAACAATAACTCAATTTAAATTTTTTAAATTTTTCTCATTTTCCTACTTGCTCCATTACATAAAGTTAAAATGTATTGACATAACACCCATATACGTAATGTAAAAAACTCAAACTATGGACCCTTTTCTGCCATCATTATATCTAATCTCATCGGACAACAAACCAACTTTCTGTTCCTTTCTCCATTCTTTCTAGACGTGTTCGTAATTGATTTTTAACATTGGACGAAAGAAATGTTATCAGAAACTGTAAACAAAAACACTTAAAAAATTGGATGGTAACAAATAAAAAATTTAGAAATCCAATTTCTTTTTTGTTGAATTCTTAATGTTTAATTGTAAAGTGTACAAAAAAACTAACCTGAAATATTAGCATATATGATTTATATTTCGAATGTTAATATGAATACAGTCCTCAAATGAAAAGGGCTTTTCTTTGTCGTTGCCATAAACTTTCAACATAGATATGTAAAATTATTACGTACCTGATTTTTAAAATTTCTTTCTGTACCCGTAAATTTGTTTTTTTAATTCTCCTTAAAGAGGTAATTTAATATAAAAGTTTCATTTTTATGAATTGCTAGCAAATGAAGAAATTAAAAAATGTTGTGTTAAAGTTTTTCCTTAATGGGAAAAATGCAAGACCCCCGGGGTTTAAAAAACATTTTTTAACCCGAGAATTGTTTTAAAGGAAAACCCCATAAAATAGATCCCAATTTTGGAAAAAAAAATATCGCCAAAGTTTTCTGGGTATTTCTTCATATGCTTAATGCAACTTTCCCTTTTAAAAAACATCTTTTCAGACTTAACACATAAAACTAGGTAAATTTTTATTACGAGGTTAATAATGGGTGGGGGAAAATGTAGCCGATAAAACATTTTTGGGTGGTATCCTAAACCTGATATTAAAGCTCTATAAATTATTAAATGAATCAAATAACTTATTTAAACATTTGTTAGCATGTACGCGTATATCATTTTCGTTCCTGAAAATCTAACACTTAAAACGTTAAACAAAATTTGATCACAATATTGTCTTTTATAAAATCCATGTCATGCGACTTATAAACATTAAACACATCATTTTTGTCAAAGATTTTTTAGTTAACTAATATAACAAAGCCTATTATATATATTATGATGGTGACACAGCCTTTGTCGTCTGAAAAACATGATGTGTGTGCGTGCGCGTGCGTGTGAGGGTGCGCGTGTGTGTGCGTGCGTACATGTGTGTGAATTTTCTAAACAAGATTCATGTATGTAGGAAATGTCCAAGAAATAAAAGTCTACTTACAAATTAAAACGCCATCCTATCTGTAGTTCAGTACTTTATTTATGAATTAAAGTTACTGGATTATTAGCTTATTGTAGCTTACATGGTTTTACAATAAACCGAGTAATAAGAAAATAAACTGTTTGAAAAAAAAGTCCTTGATATAAACAAATGGCAAATATATCCCTGTCCTACGTTTAATTTATAATACAAGATTTTGAAACAAAGTTTAAGTGCGCTTGTTAAGATAGTGAATTATTATTACTAAAGTTGATATCTTGTTAGCGTACAAAAACTCTTACGATAGGATTAAGACTAATATAGGTTGTTCAACTTACAACAAAGTTATTGTTGAGGCTAATCAAGAAACCTCAGTGATAAAAATGACACGTTCGTTCAACATAAAGAACATGTATTTACAAAAGGAATAGATGGGGGTCAACGAAAACAACGAAAACAACTTATAAGACCTGTTGAATTGAACCCAGTGAAAGACGACAGTGACAATTTCTACCACCCATTTTCCACACCAAAGCTGAATATCTTAAATGGTCTCGTCTGTCCTTTACTGTGGAGAAGATCCTTGACCAATATTTAGGGAAAAGTGTAACATATTTACTGATAGAATAGCGAACACCGTAGACCACGTTAAGACGGCACTAATTAATATGCCAGTTGATCTTGGTTTGCGCATGTCGCAAGTGTAAGCCGTCTTATCCTTCACCATTGCTACATCAATAAAATATATGATAAAAAAAACTCAAGGCTTAAACGCTAAATATAGCTAAATATAGCTTATATCTTACCGAATAATAATTATTAAAATACTGTAGAAATAATCCATACATAAAAGTATATAGTCCTTCAGGTTATAAACTAATTAATAAATTTTCTGATGTAAATATAGCTTACATTTCTTGTCACGATTGAATATTGAGCTTTTAGATTAAAATAAACATACCATGATTCAAATCATACACGACAGAACAGACAAGAAAAGCTAAATATTTCATGACAATTTTTTTCATATATATTTATTTTGCACGTGCGACTGTTCAAGCTTATGTTGTCATCGGTCTAACCAATAGGTGTTAAACCCTTACTACGCTAAGATGACGATAAACAAATCGGTTAACTTGTTATCTTTCAAATTTCAATGATCTGTAACGAAAATTCGACA